TAGTACAGTTAAACTAAATATTAATTTTAATATCAAGTTATATATTCTGTACTATCAGTAACTTTTATCTCAGAATAATAAAGTTTTAATTTAGATTTATTATTAATAGAGAAATATTCTAAAATTTTTGATTATTTACTTAAAAATTTATAGTTATTATATAATCTATTACTTTATCAGAAACATTATTATATTCTTTAATATAATATTTAAATAAAAGTTTCTGAAATTTTTTATTGAAAAATCTTATCAATTCTATAATATATTAAATATCAAGAGAATTAAGATTACTTATATTAGTATTAGTAAAAGAATTTACAGAAGTGATAATTTTATTATAAACTAACTTAATTAATATATTAATTTTTTTTAATCAAGTTTTTCATATCAAACCTTTCATATATTATTGAATTATTTGAGATAAAGTCTTTTATTAAACTCATTCTTTTTCTGAATCTATAAGCTCAAATATATTATTTATCATAAGCTTAGTAATTATCTATTAAAACTTCTGCTTTATAAAGTAGTTTCTGACAATATAATCTTTTTCCTTGTAGTAATAGTACTAAATATTTAAATAAAAGTTCAAGACTTTTTTTATAATAGAGATAGACTTTGAGATAAAAATGCTAAAAGAAATTTAATTATTGAAAATTTATAAAATATTTTGCTTTAAAATATTAAATCTATTTTTCTATAAATTTTTTGATTTCTGAATAATATTAATTATCTAAAAAGTATAAATTATCTAAATATAGATTTTCTAAAATTTAATATATATATTAATTATTATATTGATCACTATTATCATTCTCTGAAGATTAAAAAAAAATTTATTATTAATATCTATCTTATAGTTTTTTTTAGCAATTTTAACCTCATTAATCAAGTGTATAGATTTTATAATAAATTTATGATAGTTATTCTCATTACATATAAAAAGCTTACTATAATCACTTTTGACATTTTATAGCTTGTTGGTATTCTTATATATTAACTTGAGATATTCAAATATTTTCTTAGTAGTCTAATATCAATCAAAGTGAATTTTTTTTATATGAAATACTATATGCTCTGTTGCATTTCTATCAGTTCAGTTCTTAATATATATAATTTTTATATATTTGATAGAGTAGTAATCAGTATTCTCTTAGAGCTTATTCTTCATTTTCAATAGAATTAATATATAAACTTTATTTTCTTTCTGTCAGTGAAATATTTTAAATTATCAACCTTGATAGATTTTTTTATAATCTCAGACAGATTAATATTTTGACTTGCTACTTGATTACTGACTATTATACAAATTAAAATATGACTAAGTTTATTATATTCAGTAATTAGCTCATCAATCTAACTTTAATTAATAGTAGTTTAATTAATAATATTGTTATATTTTATTTTCAAACATGTGATTATATTTTTTAATATTTTTTTATTGTCAAAAATATTATCAAAGATCACTGTCAACTCATTATAAATAAAATCACTACTTAAATAAATTGCATCTTCAAATTTCTCAATTGAGATATATAGTTAATTAGTTAATTTTATTAAAATATATTATCAGTTCTTTTAACTCTTTTCAAAAAGTTGAGAATCTACAGTAATCATTATGATCTGAGCTTCTTAATAGCTAAAAAGAAAAAATTATTGAATTAAACAACTATCTTAAATAGTTGATCTGATATATTGTTGAATTCTCAATGAACAGATTTTAAATCAACTAGAATACTCAAGTTTTCATCAAAATCTGAGTAAAAAAGATAGAAAAGAAGCTTAGTATTGTTTTAGAGAGCAAATGCAAGCTGCATAAAAAGAAATTCTCTCTGTTGCTAACTATTATATAATGAAATACTAAACTTGATAAGGGAAAAGAGAATGTTAAAATCTGACCTAATTATAAACAATTCACCAGATCACATGAGACAGAGTCACGTGACTGTGTCACATGACGGGGATAAATCTAATCTTGACATCAACGCGCTTAGTCTAACAAAATTAAAAAAAATCAAGTATTTTTATTTAATTAAATATTAAATTATAATTTAAAAACTTATAATAGTAAATATAAATAATTTTATAATAATAAAAATAATTATTTTTTATATATTAAGTAAAGATATTTATTTAAATTATTTTCTATAAATAATATAATAGTAATTTATTTAATTTTTATAATTAGTTAATAAATTATAAATTATAAATTTTTAATAATATTTAGTATTTTTAATAAATTTATAAATATAATTATAAAAAATAATTTAATTATTATTAATTTATATTTATATAAAGTAACTAGTTAATAATTATATTATTTTTTTTCCTATTATTATATAAATATAACTAAATAATAATAAAATTAAAATATATATATATATAATAGTAAATATTAAATAAAAATATAAAAAGCATATTTGTATAAATTCAAGAAATAATTTAAATATATGAAAAAATAAATTATATATAAAAATTTAATAAAAAGAAAAGAGAAGATAATAATTATTTTAATTTATAGTTATAAAAATATAATATTTTAATATATTATAAATATAATTCTTTAATATATAATTTATATATATTTTCAATATAAAAATAATATATAATATATTTTTGTTGTTTATTATTTATTTTTATATATTTTGCACGGTTATTGCGAATTTTAATTGTAAAATTATTGAATAATAAAGTGAATTAACTGGAAGGTGGTGGATTATTAGTGGTTAACTGCATTTCAAAAATCAGTGATAGCTGATAACTAGTTAACTACACACACATTTCAAATAAAAGTCTTTAAGCTTAATTCAGTCTTCTATAACATCAGGTGTCCACGAGTTCCATCTCCCCGGTCGGTTGTATAACCCTCTCGTAACGCAACCAATTTCAAGCCTCCGTCTCACTAGAGTCTCAAACTGCACTCAACACTTATGCAACAACTGTTATCGTCAAGCCACCGGCATCTCTGCTTCTTTGCATCTTTGCCGGAATCTCGCTTGAGCTCCGGCTTTGAGGTCATAGCTCCATCTTGATTCTCTCCATTCATTCGCTTATTCTCTGGTGACTCCGGATCACATCGACCGAAACTGTCTCCACCCCAAATGACCCAGCCGAACCAGGCAAACTAGATGTTATCGTGATAACTAGACGGAGCACGAAGTATTTATAAACGACTTGCCTCCCCAAATAAATAACTAATATTTCAAATATGTTTGGTTTGTGGTCTTGCTAATATCGCCATATCTTTGACCTGTTGATTGATGTCATTGAGAAACTTCTAGTGAATTCAACATTGAGCATACTACCATAACTACATCTGCCCTGGTTCTTGCTGCGATTCTCACATGTTTATACATTCCTAAAATTCCCTACACTTGCACTCATTTATATTATTTATTTTAACCCAAAGCTCTTTCGTTGGACTGTTTAGCCATTTTGTCAGCTCCGCAGCAACTTATGTTGGTCTCAACCCGTTCATCTCCCTAGCCTTGGTCAACGCATTTACCGTCACAAACTATGGCCTCGCGATTAGCTGCCGCACGCTACGGCAAGGACAATGTCCGCGTCTACAAGGTGTATCGTAATGAGGTGACTGGCGTCCACACCGTGGTCGAGATGACAGTCTGCGTACTGCTCGAAGGTGAAATCGAGTCATCGTAAGCCCCAATCTAGACAATCGGCTTGGTATCTATGAAAAGAATGAGAAGCCAACATTTGGAAAAACAGCTACACACAGGCCGACAACAGCGTCGTCGTCGCCACGGACTCAATGAAGAATACAATATATATCATGGCCAAACTACACCCCGTCACACCACCAGAACTCTTCGCCTCCATCCTCGGCACCCATTTCGTCAAGACATACAAGCACATCCACACCGCCCACGTCGACATCATCACGCACCGCTGGACCCGCATGACCATCGACGACGAACCGCATCAACACTCATTTCTCCGCGATGGGACAGAAACCCGCAACGTCTCCGCAACTGTCACCAAACGCACGGGAATATCACTCACCTCCGCCATAGCAGGTCTCTCCGTTCTAAAATCCACTAACTCACAATTTCACGGCTTCATCCGAGACGAGTTCACCACTCTACCTGAAACATGGGACCGGATCCTGAGCACGGATGTAGATGCCAAGTGGACGTGGACACCATTTGCTTCCTTGGAGGATGTGAAAGCTATTGTGCCTAAATTTGACGAAACCTGGGAAGTAGCTAGGGATACAACACTACGTGTCTTTGCGCAGGATAATAGCGCCAGCGTGCAGAATTCTATGTATAAGATGGCAGAACAGATTTTGGACGCGCAACCGCTGTTGAGCTGTGTGGAGTATTCGTTGCCCAATAAGCATTATTTCGAACTGGGTATGTTTGATCTTTTTTAACTTTTATACATGTATATATGTATGTATATTTCTAGTGTTCCGATGCTAACCCTCTCGCAGATCTGAGCTGGTACAAGGGCCTCAAGAACACGGGCAAAGATGCAGAGGTTTACGTGCCTCAGTCCGGACCGAATGGACTCATCAAATGCACAGTTGCACGCAGGGAAGGAGAACGTCGGGAGACGCCGAAGTTATAAATAAAAGACCTGGGTAAGACTCTAGTTGAATTTCCTTTTTCACAATTGTGGCTTATAGAATGGACCGGGGTGGAATTATGTAAGCTGTCATGTTATCTTTTTTGCCATTTTGATTTAGTTGTGATGCATTCATAGCCATGGGCTTTGTGGTCCACTCTAGGTGGCATGAGTTAAAGAGATAAGAGAACGAATTCAAGCGATTGTTATTATCTTCAAAAAATAATAAATAAATAAATAAAAATAAATTACACCTTGTCAATTGTATACATGCTAGAAGTGTACAGTACATCAAGTCTTAAAAGAAAACTAGTCAGCCCCAAATTCATGCTCCCTGTATGCAAGCAAACAAAAATAGGGAAAAACAATGACATGATAATGACAGTTCAAGGAGAGCAAGATTTAAATCAGGTAGATTAAGCTTGAGCCTTCTCCTCTGACACCCCCTTCTCTTTCGCAAACGCCTCCTTAACCAACGGCGAATCCGCAATCGAGGTCTGCGGCCCCAACACACTCTTACCGCCCAATTTCAGAATATTCTTCTTATACGGATGTGCATGGCCCTCAAACGCTAATATTAAACTTATTAGCCGCTTGCTCCCCATAACCACCAGACACCTCTCACACACGAACGAAAATGGTGTTCAACAACCAGCACAAACATAAGCACAAACTCACCTTTCAACCTAGCCAACCTCTTTTCCCTCAACCGATTCTTCGGCAACATCCCTCTAACCGCTTTCCTCAACACCTCCGCACCCCCCCACTTCTCAAACATCTTATCCATCGTCATCGACTTCAGGCTCCCCGGCCGCGTATTATGCGTATAGTACAGTTTCTGAAACCGCTTTTTGCCAGTTGTGTAGAGATCATGGCATCCGACGGCAACAACGTAGTCACCGCAGTCATTCGAAGGGTCCCAGATAGGCTTGTGCTTGCCCATCAGGAATATGGCGATGGAAGAAGCGATGCGGCCTAGGCTGCGTGGGTCACTGCCGACGTCTATATAGTGCCATGTTCGCGAGAAGGCGAGGCGAGTCTGTGGGAGATGGGTTAGCGAATTTGCTGAGCGTCTTGTTTTTTACTTGGAGGCAATGAAATTACCCGTCCAACAGTCTGCGACATTGTGGTATATAGCTATCGATTCATGGGCGGATCGTGGAGTAGATGGATGGTAATAGGTGGAGCCGGTGAGATTGGCAGGGTAACTCCCTGAGGATATAGGAGTCAATTGGTTATCCCTGCAATTGACGAGAACAAGAGATATCGCCAATTGAGCTCAAATATAACTGTATATATCTCCACCGTATTTTATTATTGTTATATTGTTCCAGCCCTTCGTTTGGTCGCCTTGAACCTCAAACTTGACGTTCATCACGTGACTAAATACCCTAACACTCACTAAGCGAAGTCGCACATCTGATTATTAAGAAACTGCCCAAGGAAAAAAAGGAAGAGCCGCGACGACGCCGACAATCACACGACCAACGACAACTTCTTCGTTTTTTCTTTGCTCTCCCTCTCCCGTATCCACTCTCTCAAGGGGCCATTATCTCCGGCTGTTTAATCAATATGGCTACGACGCAGAGTGTGCAATGCTTCGGCAAGAAGAAGACGGGTATGGGATAGTCTTTCTATGCGGTTTGTTATAAGACAAGGTTGGTGTTGGATTTGTTGCTGATATTGAGCCTGTTTTAGCTACTGCGGTCGCCCACTGCAAGGTACGAATCGATAGTGATGTCCTGGAGGGAATGACTTGAAATTACTGGGTTGAGGAAAATTGGGTGTTGAGGACTTTTGGGTTAAGAAAGATTGAGGATTGAAGATGCGATTTGATTTGATATCCCGGGATATCTTGGGATATAGGGATAGGGCCACTAGAATATTGTGGTATTCATGTCGGATATGACAAACACAGCTGACTAGTGTGGAATTGTCAAATATAGGCAGGCAAGGGCCTCATCAAAGTTAACGGCCAACCTCTGGCTCTCACACAACCGGAAATCCTCAGATTCAAGGTTAGACTCACCCTTCGCCTCTTTTATCGTTAAGATTGATTTTGGGGCATATGGGACGGGGGAAACAAGGTAGATGGAAGACTAAGGAATATTGTGCTCATGACATATCCCATGAAAAATAACAGGTCTACGAACCCCTCCTTATCGTCGGCCTTGACAAGTTCGCCGGCGTCGATATCCGAGTCCGCGTTACTGGTGGTGGTCACACTTCCCAGATCTATGCCATCAGACAAGCCATCGCCAAGTCGATAGTCGCCTACTACCAGAAATACGTTGACGAGCACGCCAAGAACCAGCTCAAGCAGGCCCTTGTCCAATACGACAGAACCCTCCTCGTGGCTGATAACAGACGGGCTGAGCCAAAGAAGTTCGGTGGTCCAGGTGCTCGTGCTCGTTACCAAAAGTCTTACCGTTAAGCAAAGTGGGTGTGTTGGGGTTTTGTTGTCGTGCCGGGGCGGGAGATGGAAAAATCGGGTTTATTATATTGTTTGGCTTGGGTGGATTGCCACGACGGGGCCTAGCATTTATTATGCTACAACTGCTAGGGAAGATAGAATAGGGCCATTTCTTTTCCTTTTCTCCCAGTTAAAATTTCGATTTCTTCCATTTGTTCAAATAACCGTGAAATTCAGGTGCTCTTCCCATGTTCTGAAGTGATGTGATTACGGACGCAATACCATATTTTTACAGAATTTACAGTGATCAATGTTGGATCATGTCTCCTACAACTTTGAATTTGCGCCATGGACGGAAAGGAAATGCGAATTTTGGTATTTTTAACCTGATAATCTACTGCAAATTGACCTCAGCATATCTACATCTGGCACAAAATCGCCGTCTTCGTCTTCGTCCGCTGCCTCTTCCAACCCCTTTCCCAGGCTGGTGCATTCTCCAATATCAACGATAACAGGGGCATATTCTCCAATCTCCTCGTCCTCCTCCGTCCCCTTAACTTCTAACTCCACATTCTCCCCATCCTCCAACTGCATCATCCCCCTCCTAACCGTCCGCCCTTGTCTGATTTCCCAATCATACTCCCTCTTAACCCAATCCTCCAACAAAACCAGCTCCCTCCTAACCATACCCACAACTCCACCACCTTGCTCTTCTGCAATATCCTGCACCGTCTTCGAAAATCTCATAAGCAACTTCCTCAACAACGCTCCACCGTCATCACCGTCCATCTCAAACAGTCCCCCTTCAACATCATCGAAATGTCTCAGCTGGCACCGTAATAGGCGCAGCACGCGCACGAAGAATGCTTCCCGTTCTCGCACTGCAGTGCGACAGGTCAAGAGCAATCCGAGCAGCCGTTTCCACTGTTCCAGACACGAGAAATTCATCAATGTAAGAACCATTAGAAACGTAAATTGTAACTCGCCTAGGACCTGCGCTTCGCCTGGCTCTTGCCTCCCCCCCTCCCCAATAATTGCAGGTGTTGAAGCTTCCATTGCAGGCACGGAGGTAGCTGTAGTTGTAGTTATATCATCTACGGATCCATTCACATCTCCAAACCTCCCTACCAAATCACCCAACGCCCACGAGCGATCCTGTGCCGCCTCCGTCCGTTCCCTTCCAACCGCACCAACCCGCCATGTCCGCTTCAAATCCACAGGCAAAAATCTAAATTCCCTTTCTTGCTCGCTAGCTGCCCCACTCATACTTGCAGTCGTGTACGCACGGGCTATCTCCGCGGCAGTGAGGCCTGGGATATCATCTCGATCACGGGCCGCGGAGCTGCCTGATGACACGGTCCAGCGGGGGAGGGGTGTGTTCGTTGTGGAATTGTTGCTGCTGGGGACATGGGCATTGGGTGATGCAGCAGGCCCCAAAATGCGCGAGAGGACAGAAGGTGATATGTAGTCTGTCAGCTGGCGCCAGTCGGTTGTCAATTCCTCTGGCGCATCTTGCCGTATTTGCGGTTGATGTAGGGTTAAATCCACGTCATTTCCAATATTATGCTCCTGCGGTTGTTGTCGTGGGTGTCTCTGCGACCCCACTCCCCGCGCTCTATCATATGCCAACAACCCCCCACTCCGCCATATCCTCCCCAGATTTGCACGTAATCGCATCGCCTCCGCTCTGCCCTCTTCACACCTCTCATCAAAAGTTACGAGAGCTTCAGTTTCCGCATCCCATTTGCGGAGGCGGATATCTATATCTGCAGTTGCAACGTTAATATTTCCGCCACTGGCGCTATGACGATCTTGAATGAAGAACCACTCCCCACTACGGAGAGAAAAGCTCTCTGTCGTACCAGTGTAGAGGAAGTGAGGTCCAGGTGGGAGATTGTTTATGCCGTGGAAGTTCGGGGTGGAGTTGAAGGAGAGGAGGTCGATGCCGATGAGAGTTTTGGGAGGGAGGGAGGTTAGGAGGAGGGTTGGAGTTGGGGTGTTGGAGGTCATTTTAATTTAAGGAACTGGCAGTGTTTAGAGAGGAGGGGAGGGAGGGATGGGCATTCGGGGTTGGGGTTTGGGGTTTGGGAGTTAAGGGTTGAGGGATTGGATTTTATGGATATATGGAGAGGATGAGAGAGTTGGACAGGAAATAGAGGGAGCTGAGGAAATCCTCCTTAACTTTTTTAAAGGATGTTCAGGTCACGAATAAATAAATACGTATACTAAGATTTGCGCCGGCATAGGGAATAACATCTGGTGTAAAATGGAATCAAGATGAGCACTGCGAGAGCTCCGTAGCGATTCTTACATCTGAGTTCCAAAATTGGGGTTTTAGCGGGGCAAACTTTGGTGAGTAAAACCCAGCTACTCTATTCTTCATAAATTACCAGAAACTTACTTGGTTACTCACAAACAGAATTCTGAGACATCTCAATTGTAAGATAAGAATCTCCATTGCATTAATAAATTGTCAAGAGACCCCTTTGTTAACAGAACCGGCAAACTGTAGCCACTAATGATGGGACGCTGCAGATTTGTCCAGCCAGGGAAAATGCTATTATATGAACAAAATCCACAAGAAAAGAAGACCAGGCAATACCGCCGTTCTTCGCGTTTATTCCATCCACATATGCAAACAGATACCCGGAGATACCCGCGCAATCCATCCTTGCTCCACGCGCAATAGCAGCATTGCCATTTGGCTGGAGAGTATAAAAGGCAGACAGCCTCATCCGGGCGCTTACAACCGACGACCGCGGCGACCCCCCTTCCGGCGAGTGGAGTCGGAGGGAGTGGGAGTTACATCCTCGATCCTACCAATGCGCATGCCGGAGCGGGCAAGGGCGCGGAGGGCAGACTGGGCACCGGGGCCAGGGGTCTTGGTTCCGTTACCTATTGATTCGGGGTGCTTAACATTCGTTTCCACCAAAATATATGGTTTCTAAATAATGTGTCGCAGTAACATACCTCCGGTAGCACGGATCTTGATGTGGAGGGCATTGATTCCCAATTCCTTACAGCGGGCGGCAACGTCTTGGGCAGCCAACATAGCAGCGTAGGGAGAGGACTCGTCACGGTCAGCCTTGACCTTCATACCACCAGTGACGCGGCAAATGGTTTCGCGACCACTGAAATCACCAGGACATTAGCCTTCTATCTCATATATCTGGCGGCCCCTCAAGGCGACATCATATGGGTATTGTCTGTCGAGTTGGCCAAGGGGATCGGAAATGGATCATCTTCAACAAAATGGAGGCAGATGACGGCACGAACCTGAGATCGGTAACGTGGACGAAGGTATCGTTGAATGAGGCAAAGATACGGGCGACACCGAAAACGAGTTTTCCTGCGACTTCATTAGCATGCTTCTGGTTTCATTCGCACCACAAAGGCAGTTCCAGAAACCAATTCACGTACCATCTCCAGCCAGAGGTCCGAGAGAGATGTTCTCAGTAGCGGGACGTTCAACCTTCTTCTTGGGAGGCATTTTGGGCGTGATGGATGGTCGGATGTTGTGGATGGTGAAGAAGAGAAGAGAACAATAACAAGCAAAATCAATTTGCTGTTATAGTTCGAGATGCCAAATACGGAAATCGAGTGCGTGTGCCCTAAAAGGATTAGGGCTTGTTAAATGATGCCCTAAATTCCCTAATAAGGACAACAGCTGAACTGAGCAAGTATTATTATTAAATAAGCGATGTTCCAGTCCAGGTTTAGCGTCAATTTGCTTCTGCGGCTTGAAATAATTTCGTCAACTCAATGATCTTCTTTAATGTCTGTCTCTACAGTAGACGGTGCAGGATCCCACAACAGATGCAGACGTTTACCTCCATGACTGTACACTGTGAGGTTGCTGTTTGAATCGTGTGTTCTTCACTGGACATCTGTATTTGAGTTCGCCGTTGATTCTCCTATACTCTTCAATTTGATGCAAAATCCATTCCCAGCAACCTAGGTGCCCAAGTTTAGCAACCAATTACCTACTAACAATACAGCAAACATTCAATTCCTCAGTGATGGCATCTGCAATGGACACAAGATCCATTGGGATCATTGGTATGGGCGACATGGGCAAAATGTATGCCCAGCGGTTGAGTCAGGCTGGCTGGAGGTAATACCATCCATCTTTTCTCAAATCTCCTGCTTGAATTTCAAGCAATTGCTTTGGGTAATATAACCTATGGTAAGCTCTCTTCATTTTCTATTTGCCCCTCTTTTCTATCCGTCCTTCTTATATGATGACTTGAGTGCATTTGGCTCGAGTATGACCTGGGAGTTTTTCACGATCCCGCCATTCTGGCGTGTGATGGGCTTTTGGGTTGTCGGTGATGTAAACTCCTCGCTACCTTAACATTTTCTTTGTCTGAAAATATTTTCTACATTTTTCAAGATCTTTCCCTAGCTCCGATGTTCCTTTGCAGTGTGCTAAACTTCAGTTTCACAGTTCTCCATCTTGATCACGTATAACCCGCCTGCGCCTATGGAACCCTTGCTGACACCAGAGTGCAGAGTCAATGCGTGTGACAGGCCTGCAAACTATGAATCATTAAAGCGGGAGTTTGCATCTAATGTATGTGGAATACTATTAACAACCTGAGCATGAGGGCCTGAACATTGGGGCTTATTAAGGGATTAAAGCAAAATATCAATATACTCCCGAATGGGCATTTAGTCTCCAGAATAAGCGACTATATCATCTACAGCGTAGAGGCAGAAGCCATTGACAAGATTGTCGCGGAATACGGACCATGTACGTCTGCCATTCTAAGTCAATCAATCGTATCATCTATTCTCATATATCATTCATCAAACCCTGTCTGACAAGTTGAAGCAACCAAGGTCGGCGCAATTGTCGGCGGTCAGACATCATGCAAAGCTCCCGAACTTGCTGCGTTTGATAAGTACCTGCCCAACGACGTAGAAATCATCTCTTGTCATTCCCTTCATGGTCCCAACGTCAATCCTAAAGGCCAACCCCTGGTATATCTAAACCCGAAATTATATATCACTTTTGTGGCCGCATAGTAACACCAGGTCTTCCAGGTTCTAATCAAACATAGGGCCTCAGACGAAAGCCTAAGGTTTGTGGAGGACCTTTTCGCCTCCTTCCAGTCCAAATATGTCTATCTCAGCGGTGTGATGCACGATCGGATCACAGCAGATACCCAAGCAGTCACCCACGCCGCTTTCCTCAGCATGGGCACTGCATGGCATGCCAACAACCAGTTCCCTTGGGAAGTCGCCCGCTACGTGGGCGGCATTGAGAATGTGAAAATCAACATCACATTGCGCATATATGCGAACAAGTGGCACGTCTACGCAGGCCTAGCCATTCTCAATCCTGCCGCGAAAATGCAGATTCGCCAGTACGCGCAGTCGGTGACTGAGCTGTTCAAGCTGATGCTGGGTGGGCATCGGGAAGAGTTTCGGGCCCGGGTGAAGGCCGCCGGGGCTGCGGTGTTTAAGTCTGGTACGACGCAGCATGAGCTGTTGTTGCAGGATGAAGTGCTTGACCAGTTCTCCTTGTCCAAAGGGATGTCGGAAAGGATGCCTAATAACCATCTGAGCTTGTTGGCTATTGTGGATTGCTGGTGGAAGTTGGGGATTGTTCCTTATGATCATATGATTTGCTCGACGCCGGTTAGTGGGCTTTGACTCCATTCTTTCGTGCAAATATACACATACGGATATTTGTAAAAAGGGCTGACAGAATTGCTTAACAACCACAGCTCTTCCGTCTATGGTTGGGAGTGACCGAATATCTCTTCAGAAATGAAGACCTCCTCAATGAAGTTCTGGACATTGCAATTGATGATAACACGTTCCGGTCTGATGACTTAGAATTTACTTTTGCCGCACGGGTATGTGTATGCATGCATTGTAACCACTGTTCCCAGACTTGTGTAGACTTTTACCTAGCTCTAGGCCCCAACGTCATAGCCATTTCCCATTTGCCATATTTAACCCCTTCCCAAAAACAAGAAATTCCATAGTGAAGAACAAGCCACTTTCCCTCCCCTGCATATATTACATATTGTTATGCATCTCCTTTCTTTGGTTTGTATTGTTTCACTCCTTCACCCTCACCTCACACCAACATTCACCAACACTGCCGGCGTCAAATTTTATGCTGATGGGAATTCCTGACACTTCTGGGAGAATATTAATAGGCCTGGTCTGAATGCGTGTCATTTGGAGATTTTGCTTCATACCGCGATCGTTTTGAAAAGATCCAATCGTACTTTGCTCCACGGTTCCCCGAAGCTGTCCGTCTTGGAAATGAAATGATGAAAACTATTTTGGACAAGACAACGACCACCACCTATGCAACAACAGTAAACGCGACGAGTTCAAGTTGAAATACCACAAGCTAAAGGGACGGACACGAATAGGAATGATGGCATTTCAGGCGTTGGGGAAACTTTCATGCAATAAACATGCCAACTTACCACCACTCGCGTCTTTGGGTTGCGACGGTTGGAATATGTTTTAAGCGTTTAATCATCATTATTGTCGTACCTCTCAGCTTCCTTAGGTTCAGTTATCGTTATCAGCGATAGATAATTCCAGTTTTATATCTTCTTCTTTTTAATGTCTTCCCATCGACCTGTATGCCTAAATGATTTAGGCAAGAAATGACGGCAGAAAAATACAATAATCAACATTCATACGGGCTAATAAACGAGCGCATGAGGGTCCAGTTTGCTACTTGTCAAATTTAACCATTGGCTGGCTTATTCAATGTTCTTTGATGTTACTTCCGGTTTATTGTTGTATTGAGGTTTTCCGAATCGATTACCCAGGCACTCGGAGAACCGATTTCATGAATGCAGATGGAATTAACAATGTTTAGCTAGACCTCTTTTCGGTGGGAAGGTATAACTACTTTGAAATCTCAACGGAACAGCAGATTAATTCTTCCAGTTTTTGGCTTCTGATTTGTTACTCTTGTCCCCCGTCCAGCGATTTACATCAGCATCGTATGTGAAACACAGCCAAGTAATCAACGCAGCAATTGATGGAAAGTTCATGAAGAATGCAACAAATTCTGGGATCTGTCTATCCAGGAAACCTAGGAGTATTGGCACAGCATATCACGACCATCCAATCGTGGTCCCCGTCTCGACTTCATGTCCTTGATTCCCAAAACGGGTAATTCGTGCCCAGATTTAAAGTTGGATCAACATTAGCGCACGGACTCCCGCGCCTGGCGGCTAAATAACCCCCACGTGGCGAGACGATCCACTCAGAACCAAAACCTTATCTCTTCCTTCCTTAATATCCCGGCTTCTCAGGAGAGGTTTTCAGTTAAGAATACCTGTCGACATTCAAGACGCAGTCAATTAACAATGCAGCACTCTTGGCCGATAAGTCCACACATCTGTTCTAGTTACGACGCCAGTTCTCCTTAGTCGCTGATGATAGAACCTGGAGATGGGTAGCGTTTTTGTTGCTGTCAACATTCCATGCTGCTCTACAGAATACAAAAAAAAAGTGATAATAACAGTCGAGGGGGAACGAAATTTTCTCAAGTCCAATTTCCAATGTTTCTAACCGTTTCCACGTAGGGTATCAGTGGGACTGGAGATGTTGGGTTCACGTGTCAATATTTAAAGGCGTAGCCCCATTGCTAAATGGTTGGCATCAGAAGAGGGCTTCGCTCGGCTGAATGAACTGATATACCTCAGAACGAAGCATAAGAGGACAGGACGCCGATCTATGCAAATGGTCTTTAACGTCTCCGCTCAGTTATTCCAGGGCCTCTGAGAAGCTTCATGTCGGTTGATGAAATATTAAATTTCCCTATTACATCGGAACATTGGCATGATAACTCCCACATTGACGAAGATATTCCAATATATCACACGACTGGGCAAACGGAAACCTGGTAAAATCCTCTAATCGCCTTATCTAGCCTGAGGCTGGTATGTCATCGTCAAATGGTAAGGGATCGTGTAGTCCTGGAGAATTCGATATTTGATTTAATCATGACAATGGAAGAAACCCTATTTCTCCAAAAAGAAATGCTTCAACCCCTTAAATACGCCAACGTGAACCAAGCTAGGTAAGTTTTGACAATGGATATGCGTGCTCTTTTACGTATTTTCATGTGTTGTTGAACGGTGTAAGAGGGTCAATGGGTCCATGGCGTATCAAAATGAACAGCCAGCTCCACTCTGTTTCAGCTAACCGCGGGGAAGGCGGATACGAATCATGTTAGGTGCAAACCTGTTCAAAGCCATATATTTCGTCAGCTGGAAACCAACCTGCACCAAAGCCCAGCGAAATTTGCCATAATCTTAACCGAAGAGTAAATGCTAAGTCGAGAATGGCTGGGCAGCCATCAATCACCATCAGTGGTCCGGAAGGCTTTGAAGTCATATGCTTCAGCGAGGCAAAGCCCTGGTAACGACTTCACTGCTATAAACTTTTCGGAGAAAGCTTTGGCTAGCCAATCTCTGACACAGACCTTATAGAGAGAGGAGTTCCTAAGTTAACAGCCACTCACGCGTGGGACCAGATGTCGATTCTGGTGCCTGACTAAGGCAGATGGTTCAGGTCCCGTTGCCGCGATGTGCAAGACGATGCATAGGGATTTGCTAGTTCGAACCGCTGATGGAACCTGGGAAGTGTAAGGTTATTTCATTGCGGCTGTCGCCACTGATTTCCGATATCATCGATTGGGACTCGCGGATTTTCTCTTGAAAAATGTCGTGCAATGGTTGGATGGGCAGGGAGGTGCCGTTGTAAGCATGTTATATTTAAATGCAGGTAAAGTAAGTTTAATCCCGGCGTTATAAGCTATAAAGAAAGGGCCCTGTGATTTGACACAATCAACAGTTTTATGTCAACAAAGGTTGGAGAATTCTCTTGCCTTTTAATCTATCCTAGTTGCCCATCCCTTAGCTTCTAAGGATTCGCCGGATCTGCCAAATACTCGACTCTTGACGGCGGATGATACCCCAAGTCTCTGTGTCCGTGATATTGACGAAATCAAAGAAGACTCCACGAGGCGTGAAGTCGCCGCGGATGAGGTACACATGACCGTTCTCTCCACTGCAAATTTGGTAAGCTGGTCACACAACAGAGCAGAGTTCATGAGCAAGAATCAATGGCATAACTCCATCTACCAGGGGTGCCATTTGCGAAGACGCCGATGCATGGGTATACTGGAACCGTGACTTCCGAGATGGCGAATTGACTATCCAGAGGGTAAGGTGGGAGGAGAAGAGACCCAGACAAAGACCGTTATATCATTGGCCAGCCATCTCTTGGATACATTGTAAGAGGCCCAGCGATGGAAGCTCTCTAAGGTGGTGGTATGGAGTCCAACGTCATAGATTGACCGTGCAATGCAATTTCTCCAGGGAAGATTTAGTGTTGGAGGTTGTGAATAAGTTCTAGGCTTTACCCCAGGGTTCTGCTAAGAATGATCATCCCTGGCTGTAGAATGTTCACTTGCGACTAAAATCACCACACCCGTATTATATTCATTGTTATTCGGCTTGTTGCAACATTGTAGAATCATAGATAATCATAGAAACATTCGCATTTCAGTCGCACACTGCTTCCTGAAGGTAAAAATTCTCGCTAATTACCGATACTATTTGATGACTCATCAACAAAGCGATCTTTCCAAATCTCTTGTAATCAGTGAAACTAAGCGCAGACGAAAGACAACTGTCAAGTATACTCGCATGGTTACGTGAAATTCCTCGACCAGCCAGCCCTAAGGCCCGTTCTGGATTCATCTCTGGTAGATGATCAAAGGCATCCTGATTCGCTTCTCAAATCAGTAACTCTTCGCTTGTAATAGTAATTATTGCATCATCCCCTCCAAACCTTTAGGCATATTTCGCTATGGCGAGCAGAGACGGCGGTGAGAAACGAAGCTATCAGGAACTTTTCCATATCAATTGCGTTATGCCAGCTCCTGCATGCACCTTGATCCAAGCCGAAATGATTTCAACGATATGTTCTCACCGCAGTTCCCTTATTTAGAGGGTGGATTTTTATCTCCGACGAGTGGCTTACGCGACTCCCCACCCATGACAAGATTCGGCGCATGCTGCTAGATCTAGACAGCCGCTTTCTCTATGCGTACGAACTTGTTAGTGAAAAGAAGGTTTGCTAACTTGCCATTTTAAGAGGATTATGGGGAGATTTCTCAACTTACCGGCTAGTTTTGAAAATATTCAAGTCACTTCGCGCCTGCAAATGCTGAACGGTCATCCGTAGGCTATGGCAAGAGTGTTTGGCCAGAGACTGAAAATGCACATTGCTTTGCGTTTTACTAACTCACGTCACATCAACACCGAAAGGTACGGTGCGGAGTGGGGGCTGGTTTAGGGTTCTGGGGAGGTTGCCGCTACCAGGTCGTTTCCAATTGTACCAATGTGTTTAAACCGCCGTGAGGCAATGGGTTCTGGTATTCATGGTGTCGGTCCAATACTGGGAGAGTAGTTTGAGCCAGGAATAATTAAAGTGCTGGAAAGGAGGGTGTGCTTAACAGGAAACGTGGCCTATATCAGGTCAAAAGAGGTGTTACGCCAAATGTCAGGTTTCAATTCTCTGTGACCTGTCCTGATCTTATTCTGCGGGACACCAGGTGTCATCATTGTTTCTACATACCTTCGTGGAAACGAGCACTGACGAGTTGAAGGATAACTTAAGGTTATGGCCCACAAAAGGCTAGTTATTTAGTCACGCCATCACCGGATAATGAAAGGCCGTTGGACCTGCGAGCGTTCCTTCAGTGGAGTGGTCGCTAACTTGAAGTCATTTATATATATATATATATATATATATATATATATATGTGCAAATGTAAACTGTCCGATAAGAGCAGTTCGCAAGGTTCCTGACATTGAATGCCCAGGCCATTAGCTCACCCCAGTTAAACCCAAGATGTTGCCTGGATGGGGGTGCAGGCGGAAATGTGGGTTCTCTCCAACGTTTTCTCTCGTTGATTCATTTTGGCTTTGTGATAGCGGAGCACTGCCTATATATAGACATCTCCCCGGATCCTTGGACCGTATAGAGTGTTTTCGACGGCCACTGGTCGTCATGATCTAATGCGGAACTGAAATCGAAACCGAGGATAGAGGAAAAACTGCTACCAATGCAGGGATTGCAAAGCAATCTAATCATGTCAAATGAAAATGATCAATCAATCAAGATTGCCACAGTGCTGGATAAATTCCTCCGCACAACCACTTATACATTTATTTTATTTGGTTTGTCTGCCTCAAGGCATGTTTTGTGAGGCTTATTGAATGCATAGTTTGTGTTCTTTTGACACAGGTTTTAAGCACGGTTAAATATCGATATCTATATTTGATTGCCGTGAATCATGGTACAGGAGGCCGAGGTGGGTTAAGCAGCCCATATGTATGTCATTCGATGATTGTACAGAAGGGTTTCTCGGCATCAGCCGCCTTTGCTTTGCGATGGTCGTCATCATCCTGGCTGTGCTGAACCGTCCAAGTAGGCCAGTGAGATAAATGATCGCGAAGGATGGAAGGCCAAGAAATGGTTGCAGCACAGGAATTTGCTAATCGGGGATTGGTGAGGGGGAAAAATGCAGATGACAGAATGATGAATTGATGATACTCGAGAGATGCACTCACGCCTGTGGCATCTCTTAACTAGCCACACCAAATCCTCAACTGTATCACCATTATTCCTCGAGGCCGCGATGCTGTTGCGTGTCCTGTTGCACCAGATCCATAGTCTCCTCTCTCTGTGAAGCCTTGGGTGCTTGGAATTTCCAGGTCCACGGCACAGCAACCCCCCAATATCACCACCAGCTGAAACCCTTTTCTTGATTCCGCCCTTTTTTTTTTTTTTTTTTTTTTTTTTTTTTTTTTTTTGGTTTTCTCAGCATCTTGTTTGAGTACGAGTTATTCTTCTCGTTCTACTCTCAAATTTCCCTGGGAATATCCTTCAACCCCTAAATAGACACTGGGGCTAGACCAGCCACTGTTCCTAAAATGATCGAACTGGGTCTCTTTAAACCGATAGCTATCCCTGGAGAAAATCAATTTAAGCTAATTTCACAGCCCAGTTGAAGTGATTATGTGCCGGATAAAATGCTCGCGGTTGTCAGTGTCCAGCATAAGCTTTGAAAACCGGAAGAATAAGAACAAGAAAACTCCATACAAAAATAAAATGAAAATTTAAGGGCAGATGGATGAACCCAGAGGCCCATATCCTGCAGATCACTGCAGCCCACAGGATTTCCAATCCTTGCAACCCCCCTTAGTTTCAAGAGGCTGGGCTCACAAATGGCTGCTGTGTAATTGACCCTGTGCAGCCATTGCTAATGTTATCCTGCAGCAATATCCTTGTGTGTGCACTGTTTCGTGCCAGGTTTTCCTGCAACAAAAGATGATTTGCGCCTTTGTTGCACCCGAGACTATAATAGGCTAGGTGGATGGGCTGCGCGTACAATAATGTGACGTCTCTAGACACACTCAATCAATCATAAAGTTACTTACATACACAGGGAGTACGTACGTACTCTATCCACGGTTTCAAATATGAATTTGGTTTATGCCGCTTTGTTTTTTCCCTTGGTTGATATTTAACTTAATGTGCGGTCGTTTCTTCTCAGCCTCGCCTCCCTCCCTTTTGGTTAAATTGCTTATTTTGATACGCACAACACTCAACCTCCATTCTCTTCACTCCTAACTTGATGTAGCTATTGTTAACTGTAGCTGAATTAGCCTTCACAGGTGATTACTTATAGGTGTTACAAAACGACCTACTTCATCCGACCAAATACAGCGTCCTCTACGCTGTATAGGCATACTCAGTCTGTGCCTGGAATATTTCCGCCATGAGGCTTTCCCCTACAGCGGTCGCGGCGGCCATCTTGGCCTCTAGTGAGCGCTCTCTATATCATCATAGATATAGAGATTCCCTGGCTAACATTTCCCCCAGTGCCAGTGGTGCACGGCCAAACAGCGCAATTTCGCCCTAGCGACGCACAAGGCATCTTCTACAGCCTGACCATTCCCCCGTCCACTGCTTCTCGCGGCGAAGGCCTTATCTTCTTCACCATGGAAGCACCCAGCGATGGCATGCAATGGTTCGCACTGGGCCAGGGAAGGGGAATGACTGGTTCTAACATATTCGTCGCCTACGCCTCATCCGCAACCAACATAACCGTCTCCCCGCGTCTGGGCGTTGGCCATATCGAGCCTGAATACAACCCATCCGCCCGCATAAGCCTCTTGGAAGGTTCGGGAATATCTAATGGCAAAATGATTGCTAATGTTCGATGTGACAATTGCATGAAATGGGACGGTGGGTCCATGAGTCCCACAGATCAGAAGAGCCCCTGGATTTGGGCCATGAAGGCCGGCAACCCTCTCAACTCCGCTGATGTCAGAGAGCAAATATCCTTCCACGACAACATGGGCACCTTCAGCCTTGACCTGAGCAACCCATCAAATGGCGGATCGGGAGGATCGGACTCAGCTACACCGGGAGTTTCCCAGAAAACCATCAACATCAAAAGCGTGACACACGGCATCATCATGTCTGTCGTCTTCGTCATCCTCTTACCAACTTTCGCATTGGGGTTGTTTTTGATCACCTATCCACAAACAGCATCGCGCATCCATGCTCCCCTGCAACTGCTAACAGTCTGCGGCGCTATCGCCGGGTTTGGCGTGGGTGTCTCTCTAGCCCGCGACCTGGGAAAAACAGCCATGTACCACCCCATAATTGGCTATGTGGTCATTGCCTGGCTGTCGGTGTTCCAACCGCTTCTTGGCTATCTGCACCATCGCCACTACGTGCGGATGCGCAAGGGGAGTGTGATGGGGTTTGTGCACCGCTGGGTCGGCCGTGCTATGCTCATACTAGCTATCGTCAATGGTGGGTTAGGTTTCAAGTTTGCCGGAATTGGGAGCGACGCGGCGCCTAAGGTTGGAGTTATTGTCTATGGGGCTATTGCGGGATTCATGGGCGTTATTTACGTCGCTGTTGCAACATGGGGCACGGCAAGGAATCGAAAGGAGAGATCAGGATCTGACGCATCTCTTTTGGGCGCGAACGAAATGAAAGATGGGGCGAATAGGAGATAGATATATGGCTGCTCGGTCGTTGTGCCCCTTACCAAAGAGATCAGTGCAGCTGGGCTCGAGTTGCTTTCTTCCCTGCGTTAGGTGTCATGTCTCTCATTATTTTTTCCTTTGGTTTTTCATTCCCCTTCATGGGTGTTTGGTCGCTGTGACTTTTCATCGCCGATATCCCCATCGTTTTGCTCAACATCTGCTTTCCTTCTGCTAAACTTTTTGATCTACGAACGATTCAGCTTCTGCGTGGACTGTCTTTCTTCGTCTTTGTGCTTCCTCATTTATTTTCTTCTTTTTTTCTGCAAGGGAAAGTATTTTGAAGCATTTCCTCGGGTTTAATGCAACCCTTTATCTCTTTATCCATTCTTGTCTCTCCCTCCCACCACATCCCCTTTCTTTCTTTCTTTCTTCTTTTCTTTCCTTTCCTTTTTTTCCTTTTTTTTAAATGATATTTCACCAAGTACCCACTCATCTCGTAGTTGGTAGCCATTTGATTAGGTACTTTGTATGTACAACATTTTCTGTTTTTTTGCATTTCCTTCTTTCTTTCCAATTACTTATTTACTATATAGCTTGATAATATGAACTATAAATTTCGATTTACTATTCCATAAACAAAGTAGTACTTTCTTTTCTTTTCTTTTCTTTTCTTTTTTTATTATTTTTTTATTTATTTATTTTTATTTTGGAGACTTAACAAAAGAGCAAAAAATAAAAATAAAAAAATAAAAAAATAAAAAATAAGAGCAACTGAATGATGTTCATCTTATATCCTCATTAAGTAACTCTCTGTGAAGAACAATTCATGTTGAGAAATCTTTCATAGTGGATCTTGTCTACACTCTCTATTCTCTATCCCTCCATGACATGAGCTTAAGTTTTGGGGACTCTTCACACCTAGACATTCTCGTACCTTGAAATCGGCCCAAAATCTTGTCGTACTTGCCAGTTCCCCAACTAATGGCTTCAAGAAACCCATCCACGCGACATAATCCCTTGGAATTTCGAAAAAAACCCGCTGACCACATCGAAATACCCATCCATCACATCCGGGTTTTGTGTGATCAGTTTCTTCGTATGCATCAAGGTAAGATCGTAGAGTGGCGCCAGTAAACCGCTGTTGAGTCCAGTCCGCCGTCTTCCACGGCTTATCCATACTGGAGTGGGCCAAACCCGGCCAGATAATTATATACATCACGCCCAGATTTTTGAAAATTTTCAGCATCACGCTGAACATGAAGCGAAGCATGTCGGTGAGGTACGGGAATGGGAACTTGAATGCTGGAATCCCTATGTAACGTGTTTTAGTACAAGGAGCCGTCTCGGGATCACCGAAGGACCATCGGTCCATATATTCTAACAAGGAGTCCAGTACGATGATGGGAAGCAGGCGAGGGGTCCCACTTTCATGGCCCCTGATTCCGTGAAGGAATAGGTAGTCATCCAAAGTGCATTGACTCGGATATTGTATACGCTTTGCAACTAAGCGGGAGCGCCGTATAGTTTGCAGAAGTGAACTCATGCCGTCATAAAGGGGACGTAGGAGTTTAAGAAAATGGCTTCGCGTGGCGATTTTGTCAATCGCCCTCCTATTTCTCAACGTGCGGGTTTCGTAGAGTGTAATGTGACTGGGTTTGAATAGAACTGGATGAGCAGTATATAATGTGGAGATTGTTGCAAATTCCCCAGATTTTGTCTTGAATCTCATAAGGAAATTTTGAGAAAAAGGGAAAAAAAAGACATGATATCTGCTCTGCTGATAAAGGCAGAGAGAATGAGGAAACTTGTGATAAGATATTGATGCCTGTAGATTTAAATGACGGTTGTTCAGTTTGTAAAAACAAAGCAGAGACAGGAGAATGTATGGTTGCTGTGAAAACAAAGAGAGATGAAGAGCCCCTGAATTTTTCTGTTAAGAGTGCAGAAATTACCAAAACCTCTTGATTTGCATTTTGAAGATAATTTTAAAAATAAAAAAAGAGGGGGTTAACTAAAACAACAGAATATAAGAAAGGGTGTCATTCACTACATGAGCACTACAGTTTCCCTGACCTAGACAGAAATTCATATTAGTATTAGCAATTGTAGGACATTCACTGTCATCAAACCCCGTCGCATTATCATCAACTGCGCCTATATTGCAGAAAGACATGATCCGATGTTCTGTAAATTAGGTGGTGTGGAAGCAGAGGGGAGTAGCTATGGCAACACTCTGCAGATATGTGCTGCGTGGGTGGGAAATTTAGGCCATGTCGGAGAAAAATGGCACTACCATTCCTCCACCGTATAATTAGGAAATTATTGTTACTAAAGCTCGTTCTAGTCGAGAGTACACAAAATATGGAACGAGGCGCCAAAAATGGGGCCCTAGATCTCAGAGAAAACTTTGCCTGTGGATCGAGAAGGAGATATGACGGGCTTGTTCCGGTGCCATCAATGGAGATGGGAATGGCCGGAATAGAACCTGGTTTGTGTGTTTTCAAGGACAGGAAGACCGAATAGCAACAATGACCACTTGTTATATGTTGCTGAGGCTATCAGAGTATAAAGAAATGTTGAATCGCATGCGAGTGATAACCAACTGCTTCCTCCGCTACCTTGGCAAAATTCTCATCCTTGGACGGAAGAATGATACCCGTTCCCCACGCCCTGATTCTGATCGCATTTCAATGGCATGGGTTATTTCGGATATCTCCACGAGATGAGTCGAACTATCCCGAATTTCGTAGTTTGCACATGCATCACACTCGTATATAATAAGATCCTATCCACGCTAATTCCTACACGCGTAAGAAATGGTTATAGTCCACCTAGCTGCGTAAGCCCGTTCTAACTGGACCTTGTAGAACTCGCAGTTCCCACACCGAAACACCCTCGGTCTGCTATCTCGCTAGAAAGGGGTTAATAAAGCAGTTCGACATAAAATGCTTATGTCCCCATGGCTATTCAAGCAGCGTCCGCGGACCATAAGAGTGTATAAAATACTCTCGGCTTCCTAAAGACACACACATAAAGTCAAAATATGAAAATCTGATATAACTAACCAATGCAGGAATGGCTAAGTAACAGGGCTGCTCAGCGGGCGACCTGGAAAGTGCTGCAAACCGCGCCTGGGAATGACCAGGTTGGCCGAATTGATCCAAAAGGTGGGAAGAGCGGTACAGCCTTCCAATGGTATGATTTCTTGATCGGAAAGTAAAGACTTCATACCGCATATGGTTGAACGAGGTCTGAATCCTGGAGCTTGGGGACAGCTCATGAGGATAACTTAAGAAATGTTTCTTGGCCAGCCTTCACTCATTCTTCCAAGTTGAGAAGGGAGTACTGTACGAACTAAGGATGAAAATGGGCAAGTATTCACGGTCTCTGCACTCTGCAGATGCTATAAGCTAACAAAAGACGTCGTAGAATTGACGGTGAAAAAATGGGTCTGACCATATTAGGAACTAACTGCCGCCAGTTTAGTTGAAACTTAGCCGCTGGCGCTAAACTCGGCTATGACAATCAGAGCAATTATTTAATACACTGTATCTTCCCAATGTTCTTCCCAATGTCAGAACGAAATATTCACAGAGACTCGTAGAGACAAATATAACCGGGCTTATAGAGTGAGCAGTTGAACATCCTGAATGAATTCTAATAAAGAAAACTGACAGAGATGGGAGAATGCTGCCTGGAAATAAGCACCATCCCCTATGCTCCTAATATCCATTGATAGATTATATTCAGCGGGCACAATTTCAAAAAACATATTCTCATGATGGAAGACAATAATTAACTGTTGTAATTGTTATGACTCGACCACTATAACATTCTGTGTTCTGCTGTGCTCTCTCCTGTCATCAGACAGAGCTCTAACTACAGTTGGCCATGATCACTCTTCTCTATTTCTCCTTTTCCTTTCATAGTATTAATTGCAATTTGTTCCTAAGTTTGTCATCAGAGTTTTAATTCATATCACGGTGTCCTATACTTATATATATATATATATATATTTATTCATTTGTTATTTTTTTTTCCACGAGGTTTAACAAGAATTCAAAGAATTCAGCCAGCGGGGGTTAAATCGTAACTAAATCCACAATTCACCTCCCTGAATCCCATTCGGAGAATCTTGGAAAGCTGGCGCTTCACGAAGAACATAGGTTCAAGGATGAGCGTGGCTCTGCAGTTCATAATGTCCTCAAATGTTCCAGAATTGGGGAACCCCGCACAGGACAATATCATCTGGTATTCCGTCATTTTAAGGGGGCACGATAGGGATTGACGGGCTTTACAGGGATTTAACAATACCATATTAGCTCAAAGCTCATGATGGCGCCGCCTGGATATTTAGTTAGTTAACTAGTAATAGTGGAGGTTCCATCGCGATTCTCCTGGGATTCCAAGGAGTAATTAGCTTGGAAGATACAGCTGGTGAGTGGATGGCCAGCGGTTTTGTTTCTGTGAGCTGATTTTGCATTGCTGGCCAACTTCTCGCTCATAATATTTTTCTGGATAGCCATCCTTTTTCTGATGTCGTGTGGGGGGATAATAGAGGAGTATATAAAGTCAGCTCGAGTGAGCATACTGCATCTTCCCATCTTTGTAAATACGTTTTTTGAGTATATCTGAGCTTGTCGTCTTGTGGATAGCATTTGTTTAACTAAACATTGCCCGGGCGATGGGACTCTGTGGTTAGCTATTAACTTTATAGCCAATCCCCAGTGCCCCAGGGCCCAACCTGTTGGTAGCTTCCCCAACTCAACTTACTTAACTATGTTCTGCCTTTTCCTTCTCCTTCTTCCTCACCACCTACTTACTCCTTCTTTTCCTTTTCCTCATCTTTCCCCTATATCTGATATATTCACACCACACTCAAGAGCCATTAATTGTGCTCTTGTAGGAATGTAAGTATTTACAGGAACTTTTGCATTCATACCTCAATCATCTCCGCTGTCACCTTGCGTTCCCCTGGTTTGCTACCAACTAGGATCAGTGCTCCCGCCTCAAGTTACACCCAGCCTATCCAACCCCTCCTAAGATCCAAATAGCATGAAAGTCCAACTGCTGTGCTATATTTGACCAGTCGATGTTGACCATTTCACCACTGTGTGACCTGCTTAGATTTTCCATTCGTTCCTGGGGAAGATGGACTTCCATGTTACGATCAAGAAGTCACATCTCGATACCCTCCTTCGTAGGTACGCTTTTTGGAAGATATGGCGTGTTCTCCCCCTTTTTCCTGTTTAATTGCCCCTCGATTAGCCTAAGTTTCTACCAATTCTTCTGGGGTTTCTTGTCGCCCTCTTTTCCTAAAACTTCCCCTATATACAATATGCCAAATTCAATACGGAGTATTCAAAGTTCTAATCGCGAACCACGGCCATATGAAGTAACAGGGCGGAGTTGGTGAGCACGCCATATTCACAACCCTGATGGCGTTTCTACTGTATATAGCTCCAGAAGCTCTGACACACGAGACCTCTATGCTGGAACTGTGTAGCATGGCTCGTCATCGGATTTTGAGATTGCCCCGAACATTGCTACGGTGACCATCCCAAAATCTGAGCATGACTTTCTTGTGAGTTTAAAATACCTCTTAACCTATTTATTGCTGCATTTGCTAACGCTTGTTGAAGCTTCGCAGGTCCCGCGAATACGGTACGCTTAGACTGCCGAGTCTGTCCCAGACTATATTCAAGCTCCCTCAACCATTAATATATTTTTTATGTCCTTTCCTGGTTTCGTAAACCACGTCTAATCCGCATGTTACTGGCAGATAATTTGAAGCAGGCCCTGTGTGAAGGAGGTGTAACTCAGGAAGCTCTTGAAGTGAGAACTCGAGCGTCAACTTGCATGGTTATAATCGCTAACCGGATGACTAGACTTTAATAAGTGGCCCTGGCAACCTAGATGATCCCGTGGACTCCAGTAGCATTCTTGGCAGCCAATCCCCAACAGAAATTGACAAACCCGAGTCCCACGCCCTAAGCGCAATCTCGAACGGTTCCAACAATGAAAATATCCCTTCTAACAGCAGCAGTAATGGCTCTCCTCATAGTGGCACAGGGAGATTTCAACGATATGCTGCCAATGGCAACTCCCGTCAACCTAGCTTCGAGAATGATGTTACGTCTTTCCCAAGTGATGAGAAAGAGGATATGTCATTCTATTGCAATTCGCAAACTAGGCAAGACCGCCAGCAACAGGCAAACTGTACAGAGAACCGCACTATCCTTTTAAAGGGCCTGTCTGAAAAAACGACTCATCGTGATATTGTTGCTGCTGTTCGGGGTGGTGCTTTGGTTGACCTTTTTTTACGCCCCCGAGAGCGACAAGCAAGCATCTCCTTTGCTGAGGGTAAATCCGCCCAAGAATTTCTATCCTATGCCAAACGTCAGGATCTGTATATCCTGGGTAAACCGGTGAGACGCTCTTGTGGTATATTGCAAGAAATAGCACGCTCACATGCTAATTGGACTGTACAACAACAGATTGATGTATCTTGGAGTGAACGCCAATTCTATCTTCCGGGTCATGTTGCTGGCAAGCTGGCAAATGGAGCTTCGCGTAACTTGGTTATCCGCTCAGTGCACCCCAACCTGACCGAAGCCAGAATTCGGGACGACCTGGAGCATATCCATAATCTGATAGTAATCGACATCACTTTCGAGAGAGGAAATGCGTACGTTTCGACCAACTCAGTTCACAATGCTCTTTTTGCACGTACTTGCATGATGTCGCGTTTGGCTTACAAAGGCATGAAAATTGAATACTATCCCGATGAATGCGCTGGTCCCTTACCTAAGGTCCAGTATGTACCAAAGAAGGTGGCACCAGCGCCTCCAATTAGGAAGGCAGCTCCGATGACCAACCGTTTCCTGATGCTCAACGTGGATGGGGAAGACGACTCCGAGGAAGATGATGATCTGATGAGCAGCACGTCCCTTGGTGGCAATATTAGCTGGGCAAACTCTAGCATTGCAGTCTAACATGCGTTTCCATGTTTTCCCTCTTCCTTTCCAAACTGAACTGTGGACATGACGGATTGACAAACACCCCTTTCGGCATTAATTATCACTTATTTCTGTTGGTATTAACCCGATGAGTAGAACCTGCGTGCAGGCTTAGACTCCATACTTCCTAAACATGGCACTCCTTTTGGGGGCCGCTACATTTTACACTTACCGTCATCAGCGCATTGAAACGTTTTCCAGTACATTCACAGCCAGGTTTGTGGGTACCATGTTTGTTCAAATTCGACCACGGATCCTTTATTTAGCTCTCCATAGATACCCACAATACTTCTTCCCTTGTTTACTCTCTATCTCTTTCTCTCTCTCACACTCACACACACACAACTGTTGAGGATTGTGGTGTTGGAATTTCTCTTATATGGTTCGACCTTTGTATTTCCTGTTTTTTATTTCAATTCATCATTGATGATGTTTTTCAGCATTCCACATGTCCCTTTCTTATCCCCTGATGCATGCTATTCGACCAAAATATTGAATTGTATGCACATACACAAATCAGCTATATGGTATTGACTATTCGAAGAGGTTTGGGTCTAATTAATTCTAAACAAAGACCTGCCAAAGCTGTCAACTATTTTCTAGTATATTCAATCTTCAATGCATCCATATCACTATATTTGCTTGTTGTTGAAGGAACCCCTTAATGTACTCCACGTGACCCAATCCCTGATGCGCTAAGATAAGATAAGCACAGACCACCAAACAAGCCGCAAGCGAAAAAGACGAAAAACTTAGAAATTCGTCAAAATTCGTCAAAATTCAACAACAACAAACCCATCACCACCCCGACACCTGACGACTCCACTTAATTGCTTCGCCTCTCTCCGTCAAACCGCCATCTCTCAATTCTCGCCTCCTATAGTGCTCCCATAAACACTTCGTCTAACTTCCTCCCTCTTATCGTGGGCCCGCAATAAAAAGCCATGGCCTATGACAACCGTACAAGCCGGCCGGTTGCCAACCTGCACGATGAATCCGACGTGGAGGAAGAGACGCTTGTCAATGATTACCGGGAGCAAGTACATTTCGATGATGGTATGAGTGACCTGGACCGGACGACGTCGTTGGGCGGCGGGTCGCAGACGCAGGACTTACAGGCACAGCTGGCGGCGGCGGCGACACCGCTCGAGTTCCAAGCCACGCTGGAGACGAAGTTTGCGAGCTATGATAACTATTGTAGCTTGTTTCATTATATATTGAATTCAGATGGGCCGGTGGATTTGGAGGTCCCTTCTGTATGTCGTCCTTTTTATCATCTGTGGATTTTTTCCTCGAAGAGTGAAAGGCTTTTGTGGAGATATGTTTATATATCAGGAAATTCTGCGTGGCATTTATCCTTCGTTTGTTAATGTGGATTAACTAACTGGTGCGATTCATAGTACTTCTGGGCGTGGGATGTGATTGACGAGTTCATCTACCAATTCGAATCCTTTTGCCGGTACCGCAACCGCATCGCTCGTACTGGCTCGAATGAGGAGGAGGCTCAACTTCTGCGGGAGAATCCCAACACCTGGGGGTGCTATTCAGTTCTCAACGTGCTCTACTCACTTATCCAGAGATCCCAGATAAACGAACAACTTGCAGCCATCAAGCGCAACGAAGATCCCACAGACGTTGCGGGAGAATATGGAAACCGACCCCTGTACAGAATGCTAGGCTATTTCTCCATCATCGGCCTGCTCCGCGTCCACTGCTTGCTGGGCGACTTTAGTCTTGCCTTGAAGACCCTCGATGACATCGAGATGAACAAAAAGGCCATGTTCGCCCGCGTCATGGCTGCCCACTTCACTACATACTACTACGTCGGCTTCTCCTACATGATGATGCGCCGCTACGCCGATGCCATCCGCATGTTCAGCCACATCCTCGTCTACGTGTCGCGCACAAAGAACTTCCAAAAAGGCAGCAACAGCTATGACGCCATTGCCAAGAAGAATGACCAGATGTACGCTCTGATCGCCATCTGCGTCGCCTTCCATCCGACCCGTCTCGACGACACGATCCACTCCGCCCTGCGCGAGAAATACGGTGAGCAATTCAACCGCCTCCAGCGCGGCGGACCTGAGGCCCTGCCGTTATTCGAAGAGCTTTTCCGCTCCGCCTGTCCCAAATTCATCAGTCCGACGCCGCCAGACTTTGACAACCCAGCTATGAATGTCGACCCCGTCGACCACCACACGGCCATCTTCATGGACGAGGTGCGCAATACCCTCTACAACCCGACCGTCAAATCCTACCTTAAGCTCTACACCACGATGGATCTGCAGAAGCTTGCTGGCTTCTTGGACGTTGAACCTGAGCAACTGCGAGCGTGGCTGCTTGTTAATAAGCAGCGCAGTCGGCAGACTCGGTGGGCAGATGGGGGTTTGCTGGAGGGTGAGGTGGTCAATGCAAATGATTTGGATTATGCGATCGAGGGCAATTTGATCCATATTAGCGAAGCGAAGGCGGGGAGAAGATTGGTTGATTGGTACTTACGAAACCTGGCACGGACATATTAGAGATCTTGTTTTGTGAAGACGATACCAACGTTCTATCGTGTGAGGGTTGCTCTCCCTGTTTTTTGCGTTGTCGGATTTGCTCGCCTGAGTTGTTACGACTAACTTGATGGGAAAAAGGATTTAAAAGCGGATGCATGCATAGATAAACCGGTAGGGAAGGCCTTGAACTTGTTAAAATTTTCTCTTGCCCTGTCTCAGAATTTTGTTAAACAAAACAACGAGAATACGAGGAATTGAAAAACGAAGGGAGCGAGGTTTTACGAATTTTTTTTTTATTTTTATTTTCTTCTCGTTTCCGATAATGCCTGTCTAATTTTAACTGATTGCTACTTCACTGCTTTTACCAAGGCGTTTCAACTTTTTATTTCTACGAACTTTCTCATTTCTTTCATTCAGTTAGCTTATTATTGACTCTTCCTTTTCTTTTCTTTTCTTTCTTTTTTCTTTTTTTTTTTTTTTTTTTTTTTTTTTTTTTTTTTTGCCTCTTTTCTCTGTTTCATGATCTTATCAAACTCCCTAGAACTTTTATACTCTTCGACTTAAGCTACCCGTATTTGGTGCATTTTCCGTGTTATGGCCATGGCTTGGATCCCAACTCACCCCAAGTTGAAGCCGAAGACATTGCATAATCGATCCATAGGGGATCAGATGATATTCAGTTTCGGCATTGCGGCATGGCGGGATATTGATCTTGTCCTGAATATGGAATCAGTAGGAAAATGATTCATTGTATCTTCGATAGTTCGACTCCATGGGCTACCTTCACTCTAGGGAACTATCTCCTATTTGGACTTAGCAATAGCACAGAGGGGTTAACTCGGAATCGGTCATAACGTTCGTATGCCAAGATTCAAAACCGCAGGATAGTCGAGAAGTGTTACAATCATATGGAGGAAGTTTGGACGCTAAACCGGCTGAATTGACTAAGTTTTATCCTAAAAGTATCCATAGGCTGCAGGAATGATTCACAATCGGTGGTAGCACGTAGAGGCCAGAAAAGCTCCCGTTTATTTCGATTCAACTCTTCATCAAGTTCCACAACCGTGATGAAGTCCAGATTAATTCCATATAGGCGGATGTAAATGGCAAGAAGCAAAAGACGACTACCACCAGTTAGTCGCGGCCTTTCATTGAGTTAGCGAGATTTAATGTTTGCTCCATGGGTTTTATTAACAGTGTGTGTTAGCATGTCAAGTTTCCCGGGGGAGCCAAATCTTAGTCAACGGTGAATAGAAAGGGGTTTTTGCCCGAGGTATTATGTACGTAGCCAAAGGGCAGAGACGTCCATGAGGGAAATAGGTAACTCCGGTAGTTTAGTACCCAACAAGCGTACTTTGAGAGACCCATATATTTCTGAGGGTGTTTTCAGGATCAATTATGTTTTGTAATCAAGAATTGCTCCAATTCTTCATCAAATTCAAACTCATATTCTGTTGAACGGCGTATAAAACCAACAGAAATTGGATTGTTAGGGAACTAATTTTGATCGTAGGCGTGGAAGTCATGCCACACGCATTCAGGGAACAATATAGGGGAGAATTCTTTACCCCAGCGGAACGTAATAGGATAAGGATAATTGAGTGCACAATGGGTTGCATCATCACTGTGTCACCGGAAGGTGGAACTGAGGCCAATGTAATTGCTATGGCAATATTAGGGAAATTGGACATCAAGGGTGTACCATTCAGTTCATATTGTAGCAGGGCAGAGGGTGGTGATTTTTGCCGGAGTGTCAGTGGTGAAAAGAGTACCGTTTCACCAATGATTACGGCGGACGGACAGTGATACTGAATGTGGAGCCGAAGCTCCCGCAACTGTCCTTTTTGTCAGCGAGACTAACTTCAATTTTGAAGTATGTCTACCCCGAAGCATTAAGGAACAAAAGCGTGCGGGTATACCTCTGTAACAGATTGGTGAGACACGCAATGTCTAGGTGGTAGAGCCAGAGAAACAACCAGATCTCTCAAACAGTACTGGGGGCACCAGCAAATTTATCAGCATGGAAATCCAGCTCTCCTTGTCTCATAACGAACTCATGCCCTACGTTTGCCTTCCCCAGTGATGCGACGAGGTGTACTGCCCTTCCATCACCGGCATATACAAGGATATCACACGTAATCCGTGAACACAAAGCGAGAGTAAGGCAACTGAAGGGGAAGTGGCTAACAGGTAAGTAGTCGAAAAGAAGTTCTAAGCCCAGCCGTCGGAGACACAATAGATATCCAGCAACTCCCCTAACCCGATGATTGCTACCTAGACAGCAGTTTATGGAAAATAAATAGAAGAGAATATAGAGGAAATGGGCGCATATATGCATAGTAATACTTATTACTTATGTAGGACAATGAGGACAAAATGTTCAGTACCTCTGGACTGGAGAAAAAACAGAAAACGGAGAAAAGCGTAGGGATCAGGGGTTGTTAAATTTCGACTTCGATATGCCTCTGCAAATGATCTATCTAGGGCGATGAATTGAGCAACAGAGAATCTTCAGAATGTGATTAGTTTGGGTCGAAATCCTTCATATGGAAATATTCCTCAGGACGAAATTAACTTTTGAAACCCTCTCACAGTTAATTGAAGAATAGATGAATAGGCCTATGGAACTGCCATTCAACTGGATCAAACGAAGTGAAATATTCATGTCGTTGAGAGGCAGGGAATATTAGCAGCTGTCAAAGGTTCTGGATTAGGTGAACTTAATAATCACATATGTATGACATGATCCAAAAAGGACTCTATTCGAGCTGAATAGTCAGTGCTAGGTAAAATCATCCAGATCTTGTCAGTAATTAAACAATGGCCGTTATGATGATATATATTTCGAAGATGGTAAAGCAAATGGAAAACGGGAGGAGAGTCTGTGCGACAATATGTATGTAAAAAAAAAAAAAAAAAAAAAAAAAAAAAAAAAAAACTCCGACGCTTCTCAAAGGCGATCTATGGATTGGCAAATGGTTGAAGTTCAGAGTGAGAGGGCTATTCAGGGACATCGAAACTTGTCCCACAGCCACAACTACTTATAGCCCTGGGGTTGTCGACGATTTTGAACTGGCTTCCAATCAACTCCATTGTGTAGTCGACCGTGCTTCCGCGCAAAAGTTCTAATGATGCCGAGTCCATGACAACCTTGGCTTCGCCTCTAAGAGGCTGTCCATCCGGTGATAAATCGCCCCCGTCTGCTTCAAAAATCGTGTCTTCTGGATCGATTTTGGACGCTGGATCAAGCGACATCATGTACTGAAAACCATGGCATCCGCCACTGGACACGGTGACACGAAGGTGGTCATAAGGTCCATCATTTAAGGTTGACGACATCCCGGAGGATGGATCGGTAATTTCTCGTAGGCGCTGGTTGGTTAAAGCATTAGTAGATTTCCAAAGACTCAAGAGAAAATTAAAAACAGAATACTGACGCAAATGCGCGACTAGATATAATGAAGAAAAAAATGAAGAAAGAAAATAATAAGTAAAAACTTCCATAAAAAACATACGACAGCCGGGATTCGCTGTTGGTCACCCACCCAACTACTAGCCGGCCGGCGAGTGGCTTAAGTTCGGCTGAGCGGACGGGAAGCCCTGTTTTCCACTTCCTGTGGTCGTATGTGTTTGTTTATTCTTCACGCTGCATTAAATAGCAGCCCAGAAGTGGTCAACCTCTGATAATGATAAACAACATTGTCCGCCAAACCATCTCTTCCTGCGCAATTGCCGCAACGAAGAAGCGCATAACCTTCATCAATCGCAACTGTACCACCCGCAAAACATAAAATGTTCCCCATACCTTTGCTGCACGAGGAGAAATATTAATCATCATGGGTTTCCCCTCATCATCGGTCCGCGGGTTCAATATCGCCTTTGCCCAGTGCTTGGGTTGTGATGTCGAAAATGTGGATGGTTGGTTCGGTGAAGAAAAACGAGTGGATTTTCGAGGCCCTAGACTACGTCGAGAATTCGAACGATGGGTATATGGAAGGAGAAACGGAAGCACCGGCTGAATCGCATGTGAGGCATAGTATCTGGAGGAGGCGGAGTGGTTTGCGGCTATAGACATAGCCCTCCAAGATTGTTGAACGAAAACTGCGGCAGATGATATATTCTGCTGCGAAAGGCGACACCTTGTGAGCGACAGTATCTGCTGGTTCATGGCTGCAATAAATATGCTTAACACCAAAATTCTTATCCCATCAACAATATTCCATTGAGGGGGAGGAAAAGGGGAAAGTGTTTTGTTGCGGATATCAAGAAAAGCTGGAGCTTGGATTACTAAGAATGTCAAAATCATTGGCCTCCCTCTTATTGGCTATAGTTCTTCACCGCCTTTCGACCAGATCCAAAAGGACATTCAACAGTATTAAAAATGGATATTTAATTCGAGTTATGCGTCTCAATATTTTGATTCAATCAAAAATGCACAGTATGACCTTCTCCTTGCCTACAGTATTAACAAGACCACAGGAATTTCCTCACAGGGTAATGTGTCAAACAAGAATTGATGGTTGCAAGTAAATGCCGAAATAATGGTACCAACATTAAAACCCCGAAACACGACAAGGACACAACCAGAGGGTTTTTTACTTTTTTCTCTTTTCTTCCTTCTTTTTTTTGGGCTTTCTTTGTGGAGGTTTCAGAGCTTTTCAACTACCCAGCTATCAAAACATAAACAACCCGATCGTACAGAGCAAGATGGTAACTATGGCCGAAGCAAACATCCCCAAAAGTACTTTTACTCGGGGAAACGCCTCATCAAATCCTCAAGACGGTCGATGGGCGCCTCCAAGAAGCTCACAACAGACTCGAAAAATGGCTCTTTGGGAGCATGCAAGTGTGCGCGAGTTGGCACGAACATCTTCGTGCGTTCAAATTTCTTCGCCAGAGATTCAGACTCCTCAGGCTTAATAACGGATTCCAAAGATGCCAAATCCTCTTCCTCTTCCTCCTTGATATGTGTGTTCAACCGGGTCATGATATTTTCCAACATGGGCCGGAACTCTTCATCCTGAGCAGACATACTCTGGAACTTGTAGAGCTGCTCCTTTATCTGTTTTGTCGGTTTGGGGGGATTGAAAAAGTTAGTTTATCACCCACCTGTTTTTGCAAGCAATTTAATAGGTGATTAGACGTGGTGAGTAGAATGAGGACGGACCTCCTGCTGTTCTCGCCGATCTTTGTCGGCCATGACCTTCCCGTGATCAATATACGTCTCCAAAGCTGGATAGACGACAAGTTCTTCAGCTACAGCATAACGAGCAAGCTCCCACGTGAACTGTTATGTTTCATATCCGATATTAGAAATATATATTCCTCTGTTATGTTTCTCTAACAGATGTAGGGTGTGTACCTTATTCCCCCAGCGTGTCCCCGTGTCTTCATCTTCAGCCTGTAGGATTTTGTCATGGTATTCCCGCAGCAACCGGTGGTCTTCCTTGACAGCTTCCGAGATCCGAACCATCTTGTATAGTGGATATATGAACCGGTTCCTAGTCGCAAAATTTGAGAGATTACCAAAGGTTCAATCACTTTTTCCTGTTGTTAAAATAAATATCCCGTTTCAATCAGGGCATCCGATTGGGAATTAACGCAAGACGATGTTGCTGTGGCGAAAGACACCTTTGGATGGAAAGGCAAGACTTCTCTGCGTCATTATGATGATACCAATCTTTGAGTTCACCGATTCGTAAAATTGCGTTGATTTTAACTTTAACATCCCTACAGCTGATGAAATTCAGTTTAATGTTAGGACTACAGATAATACTGGGTAATCCTTGAGGAGGAGGTTCAAGGCCACTGGGTGGCGAAGCTAACTGCATCCCATTAGGTCTGTGGCTTATGTAGTTAGTTAAACACTCTCATGTTTCATCGATCTATTCACATATGGAATAGTAGAGCACAAATTTACTAGCCACTCTAATTCGTATGTTGTGAGTTCCCTATTTGACTATCAATACAGTAAATGGGGAAAGGAGCAAAACCAATAGAACAGGAAACATGAATCAAAAAAATCATACAACAGGAGAACCTTCACCAAGAGTAACCTTCGTGAACCTCACCTCCACACGGAAGGGGAAACAACCAGGCAATTCCTCAATCATTTTCCGGACCCAGAGGGCACCTTCGCTCCATGGATCCCTATGGATGAAAAGTGCCAGGTTGCTTCCCCATGCGAATTCGACAATGCGTGTCATAATCATTGTCATCCACATATATATGCTCCTCAACACCTGGATTCGTCGCTCGGGCCATGCAATCGAGACACAATCCATCGAATAGTGATAGAACGGTGTAATGAATTTGGACCAAGAGCGCTTTCCATTTGTGATCGCAGTGGATAAATGATGGCCGAGTGGTTCCTCCGCCTCCAGGAGACATATTCGTCTCGTCGAAGTTGATACAACGCTCGACCATGTCACAGGCGCTGGTGTCTTGGAGCGTGGACTCCAGAGGCCAAACTTTTATTCTCTTCAACTCCTGAAGGTAGTTGAATACGGTCTGTTTCTTACACTCGCACGTGGAAGATGAGACAATCGTTTCAAGATAACTGAAGAGTCCCTTGTGGATAATCTTTCGAAAATGTTGTCGAGATGCGTTAAGACGTTCTAATTCCCCATCAATTAGATTCTTTAGCGTCGTGTCACGGCAGATTAAAACTGACATGGATATTCTGGACGTGGAAATATCACTTACTAGGAACAACAGCGGGCAACCTTACCTGATGGAGAGGTGTTGGGTTGTTTTCAGAAATATTGTCGGTATCTCCGTAAACCAGAACTACTTGTTAAGACCTGGAATCCATTCGCAAAGTTGAAATAATAACAGGGAAAGAGCATCTGGCGACAATGGATGATATCGGAGAATATCTGGTCTATTTTGGTGTAAAACCACTTCACAAACCATGGAGCCATGTCCTTGAGATTGAATCCGTACTTGTAGCCGGCTGTGATTATGTACCACACACACATCGACAATCTGAATAGACGGTATATGATCGGAAGCTAATTCGGAATGGAATAGCCGAAACCACAACTCCATGCTCTTAATTGTATCTTTATTGAACGTAATCGTTTCTTTCTTCCCGTTTTGCCGTTTCCCATTAAGCACACACTTAAAGGATGAACTATGCGCTGCCAGCTGAGAGCTGTCAACCCGTATCATTGCAAATTTCTCTCGTTCTGTAGTTGTCGTAATCGACTCCCTTCCGGTGCCATTCTCAAAAATTTGCCTATCCCGAATTGTTTCGTGCTCAGTGATGTTTATCACCAAATCACCATCTTTATCAATTTCAATGATTGCACCTTGGTTGGTGGTAGGTCCATTATAGGTGCTCATAGTTTGAGTCTAATTTCTCAAGCACTGTTGGGGTGTCTGCAGAAATATTGTTGATGATCAAAGCATGTGGAGGCTGCTTGAGTTATGTCACGAATTTGCAGGAATATGTGTCTATGATCTTTGAATTCAGTTGGGAAATGTAGTGTAGTGTAAAAAAACATTCCTGGTTTCGCGGCATAGATGTAAATAGGATGCCATAGCACAGACGGAGTAGTTGAGGTGCTCCTGCAAGAAACGAAAAATGTGAAACGCAGAATAACATAAAATCAGTCAATTCGCTTGATTCAAAACGGATAAAGAGGGAGCCAATTTTTCAACGGAAAGCTCAAGCCAGCCGGAGCAGCTCAGAACAACTTTAAAGTCGAAAGAAACCACGATCCTCTTCACTTTTCAACATAGAAATATTCGCCTTTTTTTTTTTCTTCTTTCACTTTTTTAAAACAGCTGAATGGTTGCACAGATCGTTTGAAAGCGTATTTCCCTTATACATAAATTATGGAATTAATTGAAGTGTATCATGAGTGAATATGCCGCATCATAATTCCCGGGGATGATAAAGCGTCTGATGCCACGTGTGACAGAGAAAGCTTGGCATAGTTTAATCAACATAAGGTTATCTACATACTTGGTAACGACCATAGATCTAGATCTAGAAACACACGGACAGCTCCCGTTTGCTCCACATTTTTCATATATACATCTTCAATATATACATCTTCAAAGTACAAATCTATAATCAGGTCCAAAATTGTCTTCTGCAATCACCGACTGCACTCCACTTTCTACTCTCTGTCTTGCTCGCTCAGCCAACGTTCCATATCTAATGTCCAGTTTGCGGTTCTCCCGGGCAAATAGAGTCCGCAACAAGATGGCTAGAAAACAGTTAAATCCCATAAATAATGCACAGATCAATTGTCCCCTCACATGCAGCGGGCCATCAGATTCAGGGAATATGTTGCTTCCTAGAAGCGGACCACATTGGCCGACTATGTTGAGAATTATGATTCCCATTCCACGTCGAGTGTCGGAGCCTTGGTTGTCTTCAGCGTCGGTGAGATTTTGAAATGAGTATATGCTGTTTAAATTATTTGAAGTAATAGAAAATAACTTACTCAAAACCCAAGGCAGAATATTAGCGATGCAAGGGAAGACACCACTGGCAGCGAGCCACACACCGATATATCGAGGGACAACAGATCTGCATGTAGCAAGCAAAATATACCCAATAACTCCCACAATTGACAAAATCGCAATTATTAGGCCTCGTTGTTGATAGCGATCTGCGACCCACGGGGTAAAAACGCTAATCAGGAATGAAAGGAAGTAGGGAGGTGCAGATAATCCCTGGGCTTTGATCGCCGTGAATCCCATCTCCTTTAAAATTGACGGCAGAAATACAGGGAGTGAAGAGTAACTAACGTTGCAGCTAAAGTACATAAGCTGTATACATCAGGGTTTAGTATGCCGTTAGTTATCTCACTTAGCAACAGTCAGAGGAAGGAAGATAACATACCGCTACCAGCCAAGCTTTTGCATCCATAAGTGTGTCTGCAGCATCCCTCCAGCTAACGCCGCCACCGCCACGGTCAACTGTTCCGACTTGCCTCATTGCCCTAGCTCTAGCTACCTCCTTTTCCTCCTCAGTTAGGAATTTAGCCTTAGCAGGAGAATCGGGAAGAAACCCGAAAACCACCGGCACCATTAATATGGTCGGTATGCCTTCAACAAGAAATAATAGCCTCCAGCTCGCGAGCTTCGTGTGTGCCAATGTAATTCCGTAAGCTAAAGCCCCAGCAAAGGTGCTGGCTAGGGGAGCAGCAGAGACAAACAAACCGCTTCGGAACCCTAGTTCATTACGCCGGTAGAAAAAAGAGAGCATGAACGGAATGCCAGGAGCAAACCCAGCCTCTGAAATTCCGAGCAGGAACCGGAGCGCCATCTCTGCTTTCCATGAGAAGACTGCGGCCTGACATGTTGCAACGATACCCCTATTATTGGAAACAAATGTCACAAAAAATGGGACGGTGAAGAAGTTTATGAAGGTTATAATGAGACCAACCATGCAAAGACGGTGAATGCTGCCCAGATGTGCGGGGGAATAATTTTCCACATCATCCCCTGAAACTGGAAAACAAGATATGAGATATAAAAGCTTGTTAAAAGCCATTCATAGCGATTCCCATCGAGATTCAGGTCTTCTTCCATCCCCGCTATACGTGCATTGCCGATATTGGATCGATCTAGGAAACCGAGGAGATCTGTTAAAAGACACTTTAGTTCAAGTCTCTTCGATTCTCTATGCTCCCCAACATAAATATAAAATTTCTCTTACATAAAAAGCCAAGAAGGGTTGGAATCCTCTGATCGAGCTTTCTCACGACTCTTCTCTCGATGGCCGAGTCGATATAGCCATATTCACCTGGCCTTGCCTCCCCGGTCTGGGGTTTCGTGCTCGCTTCTAAGTCAGTGGGGACATGATCACTTCGTTTGTCTGGGGAAAGTTGCTCAGTATCCATGAGAAGAGAGACGGGGTTAGTTATTGCCCGCGCCCGCTACCAAAATATGCTGATAAGGTGTGGGGGGAATTCACGAGTAACAGAGATATTTCTTCTATGTAATGAGAGAATATGGAAACGAGCTTTAAATAACTCTCGCTGAAAATGTGTCATGCGACTCTGGTTGTTTTGCAGCTAGATGAATAATAATCGGCGCAGATGATCATACGGCATTCATCAGATAACTCCACACCGACCCTGTAACTTATATAAGTTAATGCTCTCAATTGGGCAGTTTTTATTTTTTTTTATTATTTTATTATTTTTATTATTTGTTTTATGCATCCACCTGCATTTCTTTCTTCGGCAATCCAATAATACCATCCTTGAGACCCATGCGATGCGCCGGCTGGCGCTCGGCAGGAGACGACAGACATGGTCCTCGGTGCGAACATCCAGGGCGTAACAAGCTCAAGGTCAGCAACGGCATTCGACTTTCCCCGATTTGGGAGGATTTACATGCCAAAAACTAGATAACCAGTAGTAAGGCGGAGAAAATATGGTGGGATGGCCTCAACTTCTATATCCACAGAATCTCGGGCGATCAGTGTCAGCAAAGCGTAGTTGATGTCGTTTCTGTTTCTCTTCCCTTCACTCAGCCCGCCTCCCCCACTTTTCGGACACGGACGATCTTCAAGAGTGTTGGAATACAGCGCCCACGACCTGTGGAATATTGAGCATTGAATAGTTAATGAATCATTATGTCAAAACATCGATCGGTGCGAATTAGTCCATATAACCGTCTCGTGTCAGACGATTCGAACATGTCCTCTGCTTCCCTTGTAGAAATTGACGCTCTAGAAGCAGTCGTGGTCGTGGATAATGACCTCGACATCATGTCACCGCCAGCTCCAAATACAGTGCAAGTGTCCGGTTTTCTAGGCGAGTTGGCACTGAACTCACCACATCACACGCATGATCGGGCCGAAGTGTCCAAAGAGATTCACCTGGAAGACGTGTGCTGTTCTGCGCATGGCTTATCTGTCCTTGTGGTAGGCTACTACTTCTGCAGACCCTCCCGACCTTCTTTCTTTCGACGAGGAAATCATCCATCATTATTGTTTCAGTCGTTTTCTGCCCCCACCAGTTGCACCCAGTTTAAATAGCGCTTTCTACTAAGCTTATTATGATTTACGAAAACTAGACGGCCGTTAAGGGTGATGAACGCCGAACTATGCTCTTTGACACCGGGCCAACGGAGGAGGCTTGGGGATTGAATGCAGAAAGGCTAAGGTTAGATCTGTCTCCCGTGGAGAGGATTCAACTCTCTCACTGGCATCGGGATCACTCAGGTGCGTAATTTCTTAGGGTGCTGAACCTCCTCCTTTTTATTTAGACAATTTACACAGGGGTTCATCATCAATAAAGTTTCTGTTGATGTAAACCGCTAAACCCCAACAGGTGGCATGCTCAATGCTATCCGGATGATCAAGGAAGCAAAGAAGGGGAAAGGCCTGTCCAACGAAGATCTTGTCGTGGACTTACATCCATCTCGTCCCGATTATCGAGGTTTCCGTGTAGGGGCGGAGTCAGTCTCGCTCCAAGCTGACCCAACATTCCAAGAGATCGAAAACGCTGGAGCAAAGATTGAGAAGCACAGTACGGCCCATACAGTCCTGGATGACATGTTCCTCATCTCGGGAGAAATACCCCGAGTGACGGAGTATGAGACCGGATTGAAGTATGGAATGCAGTTCAGCAAAACCAAGGGAGAATGGGAAAGTGACGAACTGATTAGTGACGAGCGGTTTCTCGCATGCAATGTCAAAGGTGCGTGATTCCCGCTCGAGCAGATAGCAGATTCAAGTTTTCCTTGTCTGTTTCGGTTCCTTTTTTTTTTTTTTTTTTTTTTTTTTTTTTTTCCCAACTGAAAATCGTTATTCTGCAGGGAAGGGAATTGTGGTGTTCAGCGGGTGTAGCCATGCGGGGGTTGTGAACACAACGAAACATGCTGTGGAGTTGATCGGTAAAGATATCCCCCTGTACGCGGTTTTTGGCGGATATCATTTGGCAACCAGTGAGAAAACCCAGATAGATGCCACTGTCAAGGATCTCAAAGCTCTGGATCCAAGGGTTTTGCTGCCCGGCCATTGCTCCGGCTGGAGAGTCAAATTTGAGATTGAGAGGGAGATGCCGGGTCGTTTAGTGCCATCTTCGGTGGGATTTAAGGTGGAATTCTAGCTTCAACCAATCCAGTTAACAGGTAAAACCCGAGATACAAGTAATTAATTAGTAACTCGAGATAGTTTATTCGTCCCTGTAACTAGTTAGCTAGCAGCCCAACTACGGATAGCTAGCTAAGCAGTTAACTAATTAGTTAACTTGTCGCGCAACAGCCCCAGAAAATACAGATATCTACATCCCGAGGCATCATCCACTTTTCACCCACTCTCCTAAAAATCTAGTTAGTAACTTTACCTACAAGAGGCGATATCATACCGCCCCAGAGCCATTGAAGCAACAACAGACACAACAGACACAACAGACACAACAGACACAACAGACACAACAGGCACAACAGGCACAACAGACACAACAGACACAACAGACACAGCAACAATGCGTTTAATCCCGGCTTGCATCGGTGCTGCCTCCTTCGCAGTTAGCTAATCCAAGTTGACTGACTAACCTCGCAACCCGCTTACTGCAACTTCCAGGGAAGCCGCTGGAGCCCACCATACGGCGGAGGCAACTTATTGGGGCATACATCGGTCCACCGGTCCACCGGAACAAGAACATCCATAGCGATTATCCATCCCTTCATCTCTGCTCGCACGCCTCCTCTCTCAACACCCTGCGCCGTTTTGACGAAGTTGGGAATTTGCAATTGGATTGATCGTCAAAAGAGCTGGACAGCTAGCTTTGCCAGTACGATGTCCCACGCCCAAACCACCCCCACTTTTAAATGGAAGGACGATGTCAACGCCTTGACGAGAGAATTCGCAGCGTTGCTGGATGCTCAGGATCCCCTTGCGCATTTCCGCGAGAAATTCATCATTCCAACCAAGCGGGACTTGACCAGGACGACAATCGTTGCGCGCGAAGAAGGTATCCTCAAATTTAATACCCCTCGGCTCTCGCCCACTTTGATCCTCTCTCCCCCGTTGCCAGAATAAAAAATAAAACTAAAAATAAAAATGAAAATAAATAAAACAGAAGAAAAGAAAGAAAAGACCCAATTATCGATACCTCGAAATTCTAACTTCTCATGACCAGAAAATGCAAACTCTCCGCCCTGCACATATCTCTGCGGCAACTCTCTAGGCCTCCAGCCCAAAAACACCCGCACATATGTTGATAGGTTCTTGCAAACTTGGGCGACCAAAGGTGTGCTAGGTCACTTCACGAATTATGAAGATCAACTCGGGGCGCCATACATCGATGTGGACACCAAGGCGGCAACTTTGATGGCGCCTGTGGTGGGCGCTCTACCAGGAGAGGTGGCAGTCATGGACACGCTGACCACGAACTTACATCTTCTCATGGCGAGCTTCTACCGTCCCACGACGGAGAAGTATAAGATTATCTTGGAAGGGAAGGCTTTCCCAAGCGATCATGTAAGTATACGAAGTAAGATTCTGGATATATATAAATATATAGAGAATATGTTTATGAGCGCCCGCCATGAAGAGAGATATAATTCAACTAATACCTCTCGGGCACAGTTTGCCGTGGAATCACAAATCCAACACCACAACCTCGATCCCGCTAATGCTATGGTCCTCATCGAGCCAGATGACGTCGACAACTCGCTCATATCCACGGAGAATATTCTCTCCGTCATCGACGAACATGCCTCGAGTACTGCCCTAATCCTCTTACCAGGCATCCAGTATTACACTGGCCAGTACTTCGACATTGCTAGAATCACAGCGCACGCGCATTCCAAGGGCATCATCATTGGTTGGGACTGCGCACATGCCGTTGGAAATGTCGAACTACAATTGCATGACTGGAACGTCGATTTTGCCGTGTGGTGCACATACAAATACGTGAATTCCGGCCCCGGCGCAATGGGCGGATTATTTGTCCACGAACGACACGGGACCGTTGACGTGAATGGCGCAAACGGACTAAGTTACCGACCGCGGCTGTCGGGGTGGTGGGGAGGGGATAAAGAAACCAGGTTCCTGATGGATAATAGTAAGCTCAATCCCCGACAACAACATAAAATGAAAATGAGTCCCATCATCGAACCAGAAATAAAAAATAAAAATAAAAAATAAAAAATAAGTATTAAAACATTAAAAACACAATACAGAATTCGTCCCTCGTCCTGGTGCCGCAGGCTTCCAAATCTCCAACCCCTCCATTCTCGATCTCTCCGCAGTAATCGCCTCTTTGGAACTGTTCTCCGCTGCCACCATGCCTGCCTTACGGCAGAAATCTCTCCAACTAACCGCTTACATGGAACACCTCTTGCTAAACTCCTCCCCACGGCAACAGCAACCAGACTCCCGACTCTTTTCGATCATTACACCATCGAATCCATCGAAACGGGGTGCGCAGCTCAGTATCCTACTCCGTGAGGATTTACTGGATGACGTTTTCAAGCGGCTGCAGGATAATGGGATTGTGGTGGACGAGCGGAAACCAAATGTGATTCGGGTAGCGGCGGCACCCTTGTATAATACTTTCGCGGAAGTGTGGGAGTTCTGCCGGGTGTTTTTAGAGGCATGCGAGGAGGTGGACAGAGAGAATAAGAGCAAAAAGTAATTGGGGGGGGAAAGTTGGGAGGTATGATGAAATGAAACGTAGTGTTTTTCTCTTTAGATAGCGTTTATAGGTATTTCATTCTTACACAAAATCACAATAAATAGAATAGATAAGAGCATAGGTGGGCAAATATGAATTGAGAATGGCGATTTGTGGTATATCAGCCGTGCAGGACACATCAGAATAATCCAGTGTCTGGAGACTTGAGAGCCTGGTTGAACAGCCCCGGATGCGGAACTCTTGTGATACCATTTTCTTAATTTTCGAATAATGGAACTGAAAACGTATATTTATTACGGAAACCTGGAGAATTATTTACTATATATACCCTTCAAAAAAGAAAAAAGAAAAGAAAAGAAAACTGGGTAAATGGAGTTTAAATAACAAATTCTAAGGTCAAGAGAATAAAAGAAAAAAGAACAGAATAAATTACCGATGGGAAAGAAAGTGTGTGAAAAGGTAAAAGGTGGCTGTCGCGACTTTATCTTGTAGAATCCAAAGTGATTTGGGTGTGGGGGCGTACATCACTTTTGCCAGAAGAGCCGATTAAAGTCCAAAAAGGAATAATAATTAAAAAAAAAAAAAAAAAAAAAAAAAAAAAAAAAAAAAGGGCAAGATATGTTACACCCAAAGGGTGTTTCGGTGTTTCCTCCAATCAATGGAGCCCCAATCGTAAAGGCCTTATTCCCTCACATAATAACTTTCAATAACTTTCAATCTCTTTTCAAATGTGAAGTAACTCTCCCGTCGCTTGCCCCCCAGCAACCCCAGATTGATATGCCTGGTGCTGGTTCTGATTAACCACGTATTGGGTCTGCGGTGCACTACCACCTTCAAACCCATTGTTAATGTTCATTGCCTCCACCTGTTGCGGACCAACACTAGCGAAGTAATCATCCGCGGCACTCACAGCGGCGGAGAGGTTGCCTGTACCAGCAGCGGCGGACGCGACAGCGTTGGGCGTAACATTCGATCCCGATGTGAACGACAAAGAGAGATCTCTAGTCTGGCCTAGTGGTTGTTGTTGTTGTTGTTGCAAGGCCGGGCTCCGGGCTAGGCGTTTAGCACGTGCGCTGCGAAAGACCTGCTGAACGGGTTTTAGATAGACGGTTGCGAGGGTTCCGACGTTGAGACATAATTCTTCGAGGATTGCGGGGTCAAGCTTCTCGCTTTCGGCAGTTATGGGGGGTTTTTCGCCCATTACGATGGATCTTGCGGCATTGGGGTCTGTAGAGAGTAGTCGCCAGTACATGTAACCACGATCACGGAGGTCCGGGTCATCGGTTTCCTCTGTGCACCATTTGAGAACCTGAGGGACAAGTTGTTGACCTTTTGTTGGGCGCTGGATAAAGAGTTTGACGGTAGCTGTGAGAAGGGCAAGTTGGACTTCGACAGTCTCATCATGGAAGGTAGCCAAATAATCCTGGAGAAAACCTTCTGAGTTTTCGATACGATCAGCATACTGGCCAATTATCCAAATAACTGCTGCTTTCGCTTCAGGCTCGTCCAACTCGTCGATATTCTGAATAACCGTGCCGATAATGCCCTCATACTGGTTGGGGTATTTTCGGAATATATTTCGAATAACAACTGTGGCTTCTTGGACGATGTACGGAATTTTAGCATTCACCAAGTCGATGAGAGTTTCGATACATCTCCTTGCGGCAGATTCAATTTTGATGGCTAATTTACCTATCGCACGCACAGCTTTGCGCACGAAATGGACATCAATTTCTGTGGCATATCTGTATGTGACATTAGCGATGAATAATAGTTGAGAACTTATCTCGTTGAAGATCGTTCGAAACTTGACTCACTCCCTTAGTTCGGTCAGAACGACTGAAATATTGTCCTCCGTCGCTAACATGAAGATCAACTCCAATTTTGTCACTTTGACATAAATTGGGTCATTGTATTTACAGAAAAACACGCGGATATCGTTTCGCAACACTTCCGGGCGCTTCTGTAATATCAATATCGCATTGCGGAGTGCGAGGTACTGCACCTCTGGGCCTTTAGATAAAAGGGTAACTAGGGGAGGAGAAAGCTTCCGCGACAAGTAGGTGATTTGCTTTTGATCGGAAATATAATTCATCAGGTAAAGAATAACCCGGATAGAGGTCAAGACAACAGCTGAATTAGAATGCGAAAGCCGAGGTGCAATTCTTTCGGCTAAGAGAAGTGCCTCTGAGCATTCCTGTGGCACGTAAGACATTAATGCTTCGAGTACATACGTTTGGCCCCATCTAGATTCTGTCAGCATTTATGACGGAACCTTGGTCTCAGAATCAAAACAGTTGGGGAAGGGGGGGAGGGGGAGAAGGAGAAAAACAACATACTCGGAGCAGTCCGGTAGAATGGAGATTATTTTGGATGCGCTTTTATAATCAATCGTAAGAGTAATAGAATTGCTCCTTTCCCACAGATCCGTCAGTGCCGCAAGAGCACTTGACACGACAGTTGGGTTGTCATCCTTGAGCATTTCGTTCAGTTGGAGAATCAAATCGGACCTTTCCACAAGCTTCCGGTCGTGGTCATATAGCTTTGCCACACAAAATGCAGCAGTCTTTCTGACATAGGGATCGTCATCTGCCAATAGTTGTTTAAGCGGCTGGACCGTCGCCTCCACAAATTCACGAACATGTATATAGGATATCGTTCGCAAGGCAAGCGCCCGTACCAGGGGGTTAGAATCGTCCATATCCTGTACAATTTTGTCAGCGATAGTCCCCAACATGGATATATGGAGATATACGGAGCATATGTAAATCTCTTGTCAGTATTCATACATTTATCAGTATTGGCAGAGCCTTTAGAGCGACTTCTGGCTTCAACCTGGCGTAGTTGACGAGGAACAAAAAGCACCTATGTTCATGCCATCAGCTCTATTGTGTTCACCATCCCAAAACCAACATTCTCGATCCGCGTACATTTTCTTAATCTCCAAGCTTGGAATATTCATGCAACCAATGACGTCAGGGAACAACGCGATCATATCGTTATTGCTCATTGTCATATTGGCGACGATTTTCTTTAGCGTTATTTTCTTCGCAGAGTGGTTTCGATCCTTCTTGCCACCACTGTGGAGCTCCTGGCGGAGCTCCGCGACCTTGCCCTGAGGAGAGACACGGTTAAAGGTTAGCATAGCATATGGATTGGGTGTCATAAACATTTAGAAGCGATGAAGAAGGCAATACATATATATAGAACAACGGGACAAAAGAAGGTGGAACAGGGCGAGGATGGTGAGACTATAGGGTATGTGGAGTATATATTTCAAGACAAGACGAAGAGGTCTGCATATATATAAACCAGAGGAAGGTTGAGGACAATAGCGAAGAAGGCGTATATGACGAGCAGAACAGAATCCGTGTCAAGGCTTATAAGGTTAAGCCCGTTCGTGCAAGTCTATTATTTATTATACATGTACGGAGACCCGTCGGAACATACAGAGCTGGACGAGGCAAACAGCAACCATGAGGGCGACAGAAGATACAAGTGGAAAAGAGAAAGAGGGCAGATATGACATACTCTTGCAAATAGCTTCGCATCTCCCCCGCTAGAGCTCATCTTGACTTAGTCGTTGTCGGTCTGGCAGGGTTATTTCACGCAAACGGCATCACATGGAACGTTTCGCATTGTATAGGTCTGTATAGATGAGATCAACTCTTCAGGACGGCTGCCAAGGTGTCCATATCACACCCAGTATAATGTATAGGATACAAAGCGGGCCGATTAGATGGGAGGAATGTGTAGAGAAGGTGAAATTGTCCTTGGTGTTGGGGTGAGGTTGTAAAGGGGATGGTGTAAGGAGGTTGGAGGTTATTCATTATAGGATCCGATCCATTTAAATATTATTAGTTAGAAAACGTAAGTTAACTAAATGTGGAGCAGTTGAGCCGCACTCCGGAGAAATAAATCGGTCAGTCAACAACCTCAACCTCAACGACAACTCTACATGTCAGTGACAACTAAATACTACAATTTCTGTGAAATAGTACCAGCCTACGATCCTGTCACCTATCAATTCAGGTTCTTAGAAATATACAATGGTTTATCCTGTTCGCAAAATGGTTTCACCAGCCACACCTTCACCTCCTCCTCTGCCTCGATGGGTCATTGGCATAAACGCATCAGCACCTCCTCGACCCTCAAAAACAGCCGACATACCCAATCCACCAGGCTATACTCCTGACAATGCTGCAAGCAAACACAGTGCGAAGCAGGTATGCAACTCAGAAATCTTCCTTTTCCAATCCAGAAAAGGATATATGTGTAATATCAAAAGCCAGACAATAACCTGACCCATTTCCTTTCAGCAACGCTCTGCCCAACAAACCCAACAACAACAAACACCCTCCTCCAGCGCAGCGGCCGCCCGTAAAGTCGCGGAGACCGATGCCCTGAAATTGAAAAAGGCATGGGAAATAGCCCTAGCGCCCTCAAAACAACTACCCATGAACGCGATCATGATGTACATGTCCGGCAACAGTCTACAGATCTTTAGCATCATGATGGTCTTCATGCTATTTAAGGGACCCATCCAGGGTCTCCTGAATACAAATAGCGCGTTTACGAAGTTTGAGACGGAGAGCACCAAAGGGCAGATGTGGGGTGTTAAGGTGGTGTATGTGTTGATGCAATGTGTACTGCTAGCGCTAGGGGTGTGGAAAGTTAACGGGATGGGGTTGTTGCCGTATGATCCTCTTTACCTCTTTCTTCTTATCCTACCCTATTTGTATAAGTGGTGATATATGGTGCGGTATCGGATAGATGCTAACTTAAAATGTGACTTCAGGACTACAAGATCGGACTGGTTAGCATGGGAAACGGAGCGTCAGCCGCTTGAAAGAGCATATTTTGCGTTCAGATGAGATGAGAATACACGTTTTTGAGTACGATTATACTTACTTTAAATGGCAGCACGCTTAGTGATATATATATATATATATATACTCTACAACGTCTTGTCCATTACCCATTTAGACAGAATCTATTTTGAATGTCATGGCATCTTTATCATTTTTGGTAAAAAAAATTACATGACCATGAATGGAATCTCCAGCTCCTTGCGTGTTGGATGAGAAATGGCGGAAGTCCCCCTGCTTGTCGCGGCAGGCAGGTATGCCCTGCTTCCTAACTATGCGGCGGTAGCTGCAGTCAAGGATAAAGCTGTTGGAGATGGAGGCAATGAACGCTCTGATGCCAATGGGGAGGTAACAGAGGCCGATTTGGAAGCCGTAGATTTCGTAGATTTCGTAGAAGAGGGAGGCGACAGTGGTTTTCACGTCGTAGAATGTGGCGTACAACATGGCGTTGGCAACGAAGTTGATGCAGTTCTCCTTTTCGAGTATTATGGGCAGAACTTTTGAGTGGGTTGTGGAAGCGAAGTTTGGGTCTCTTAGGGGTTCCCACTGAAGTTGCTGTGGCTGAAAAGAGTTCTCATCGGCATTGCTTGCTGTTTTGCCCGACTGTTTTACGAGTTTTCATTGTTATGACGGACATATTCCATTTCTACGACGGGATAAATGCAGTCTCCCACTATATGCCGGCCTGTTTCCGGGAACAACACTGCAAACTGAACAATGAACGCAGCGGCAAAAGATAACCGGGAACCTGAAGGTAACTGTCCAGCCCAAATATTTACTGCACCAGCACGCCGCCTATTAGAGGTGCAATTGCGATAACACCCGCAGCAAGGGTTATATTTAGACTCCTCCATCTGATTAAATGTTGAGAAGGCCAAGATCATAACCAGGAATGAATATCTGACAGCGCAAAATCCATTCCGCCACATGCCATGCATGAAGTGACGGTCAAGTTCATCGCGGAAATTGACGTGGAGAGTTCCTGAGCTCTAGTAGAATATTCAACGCCGGCAATTAGATATTAGCCGCAACAACCCCCCAAAAAAAACCTGTCCAGCCTGCGTCGATGCAGACCCTGCGGAAGCAAACGGAAGCTTTTCTCATTAACTCTCAACCATCTTCGGGCCATGATGACGATTCTCCTCACGATTTGAAATAGTTGATAGATGAGATGACGGTCCAGCATCAGACACAATGCCCGTCATCAAATGTGTGGGCAGATAGCTATTTTGGAAACAGCAGCCAGAGTAAATATCCCATCTTGCGACTATTAACTTTCTCAAACTAATATATTCCCGGACATGCTGGAATCGTGGCGAATCATTCGTTATCCCTGTTAATGAAACAAGCAAACTTGGGTTAATACATCCATAATCGCCCATCCTAGGTATTGAAAGTTGCTTGTTTGGTTAGACACTTCAACTGGTTTCAACAGGGCGGGCAGGGGATTGAGAGTCTCGCTACTCTCTACTGTGGAAGGCTTTCAAAAGGAACAGAGTAACCATGGATATAGTGAGGATCAGTCGATGACATTTTCAACCGGCTTGGCTTTAGGGATAAGATGCGCCTAGAACCAGGTGTTGAAGATCCATAGATGGATTCGATAATTACGGTTGAGCATGGATGAGAAAGGAGGTCTATCTAAGCTTTAGACAAACGCATATTCCAAAGGAATATTCCAATTGGCCTCGCAACTTTCCGCCCATGATGTAACTAGTTACAATTGTTAAAGTGTTAAAAGAATGGGTGTAAAGCACGGAGAATGAACTGTTGACATAATAAATAAAAAATGCTAATAGCAAAACCAGTTCCAAATGTATGCATTTTCAAAAGTTGGACAATCGAAGGCAGCAGCTCAGTAAAGGTAAGTTGAGAGGGATGGGAATCTAGCATATTGATCCCTACAGAAATAATAATGATAATAGCAACGATAAAATGATAACTATAACAATCTCTTCTCTCAACTACAGGTTCGTATATAAGTGTAAGTGTTATCAATCTGCATCGTTCATCTAGATGTATAATTCTTGCAAAGTAAAGGCGGAGATAAAGTCATGAACGTTTCAAAAAGAGAAAAAGAAAAATGAAGAAAAACATAAGAAAAAGAAAGCCATATTGTAAATAATAAACTATACTACTTTCTTTATACCACCTCATCAACCTTAAACCCTATCCTCAATCCACCAACGTACAATCCACTCTAAAAAAGACCTCTTACATCAATCCCACCCCACCCAACTTCGCGGCATCACCCTCCAAACTCTACACTCTCCACTCTTCAAATCACCCAACTTAAAACTTTCAATCTTAACTTTCTTGCTCTCCCTCCCCTGATCCCACGCTCGTATCTTCTTCTTCGTTCCATCCCAATCAACCACCACACCCACATGATCTGGCTTGCCAACATCTGCACTATACTTCTGATGCATTGTGCCACGGTGACCCTGGAACCGCGCATTGCGGAACGTAACAATGTCGCCCGCTCTGATCTCATCGACTTGCTGCACGGAAGCGTTGGCTAGATTGGCGTAGACAAGGGCGCCGTAGGCGCGAGTCCCGACTGGGGGGAGCGCTTCTGAGAGTGGGGTTAAAAGGAACAGAATGAGGCCGTGTGGTGTGCCATCGGCAACAATGGTGTTTTGTTTTGCCGTTACGGCGTCAGATATGCGGGTGCCGAATTGTTCGTGGGCGCTTTCGAGTTGGTCCTGTCGCAGGCGTTGAGGTGGTGGTTCGTGGTGCTGTTCGAGAACAGCGTCGACGGGGTTCTTTGAGTTGAAGCGTACAGTTATTATGGTCTGTGAGTAATCCATGAAGAGCACGTAGACGACTTTGGAGACTGTAGTGTCGCCGCCGCGGTTTGTTGGGGTTGACTGTTCCATTTCAAAGAGGACGTCACGCCGATTCTGGAACGCGGGCGGAGGCAGGTCTGCTTGTGTCCACCAGAGTGAGCTTGCTCCTAAATCCACGTCGCTCGCAATATATCCTTGATCCCCTGAAGGTCGGGCAACTTCCATAGATCTGCGAACGCTTGTAGTGGATCTGAGGGCATCCATGGACTGTCTTGGCGGGTTACGTGATGGAGGAGGTCCCGGGGCAGCCCGTTCAGCAGGGGGTGGAGGACGGGAGAGTGTCGCCGAGTACAGGTCATCGTCGTCATCCTCCTCTGGAGGGATTCGCATTGGTGGATTCAATTCGACTCGCGGTGCAGTAGAAGGTATGCTTGGGGGTATACTGGGGGGCCCGGTAGAAGGTGCGGGTGGGCTAGCACTATGACGGAAAGGATCATATTCATCACTATCATCTGATGCTTCATCTGCAGTTTGATCCTTAGCAGATGGGACTGGTAGGGGAGGCCCCCTAGGGATGTCTGCCGATTTTCGTGCGTTCTTCGGAGGTTGCATTGGGGGAGGAGGTGGAGCTGCACGGGGAGCTGTAGTTGATGGGATAGGAGGCCGTGTATCCTGAGGGCTTCTGGGAGACTGTGCGGAGTATTCATCGGTAATGGTGCCTTCATCAAGGCTAGAATCGCGTCCATGAGCTTTCAAAGCATCTTTGTGCTTGACCCCCGATGCAATGTCTGTGTCATAATCCCCATCATACTCAGTAACTTCTTCTTCGCAGTTGTTCCCTGACTGGGCGGTTGGTGTGGATATGCTCATTTTACTGTCAGGATTAGATTTGCGATAAGGAATAGGTGGCAGAGGAGGGGGTGGACGGCTGTGCCCTGGCGAGGGTAGTGGGGGGCTAGCAAGGGGTATTGGCGGAGGTCTATGGCTGGCGAACTGTTGCCTCGGTGAATGCGGCACGGTGTCCCGGTCTGAAACATCGAAACCAGTGTCAGGAGATTTTTGACCACTGGCTTGGGGAGCGGAGAGTTCGTCGTCAGATTCGCTTCCAAGGCTTGGCGAGGCAGTCAACATCGAGGGAAGTGTTGGTGGAGGTCGAGCTTCAACAAGATCAGTATTGTATTGACAATGTTGAAGAAACAACAATTCGATATAGAACTTACATTCAACGGGAACGGGGGGAGCAGGGGGCTCTGTTGGAAGTGGCGGAGGAACAGACTTTGAGGTATGTGATGGAAGTCCTTGTGGAAGTCGGGCTATAGAAAGCAGAGTTAGATATCACACACAAATTAATACTTAAGAGAGTGAAAAACGTATATACCTTGAGGTGGAGGTGGGGGCGGTGCCCGATCTAGAGAGGGCCGTGGTGATTCAATGTTTTGTGGCTCCTCGACTAGTGGCTCAGCAGTTTTTGGAACAGGAGTTGGTAGGGGTTCATCCTCATCGCCTGGCTCTGAATGAAGCGTAGGCGGTTCCGCAACTTTTTTGGCGTGCATTCCCGGTAAGGCCATTAGTTGGACAGGGGGAGCGTGTACCGTGTGGGAAGAATACTGGCTGTCATCAGAAGCCTTCCGCTCAGCTTCAGCAGGTGGCAGTGGTTTCGACTTGCGAAACCCGCCGGCAGGGGGTAGTCCTCCTGGAGGACCAAACATCCCCATCATTCCCATACCTCCGCTCACCTTAGCCATTCGTTCACGAATTTCCATACGTCGTCGAATCTCGGGGTCTATTTCTTCTTCCTCGTCCTCCTCATCCTCCTCGTCCTCCTGGCCTTCCCCTGCTTCTTCACCCACAATATCACCCTCTACGGTCCTTTTTCTATCCGATGAATCCCGGTTATTCCGCCCCCGATTTGGCTCGTCCACATCCTCTCTTCCGGTAGAACCTTCGTCAGCGTCTTCAGTATCCCCTGCACCGGAATTATCCGCATCGTTGGTATCACTAGTGAGTTCCCTTGAGGGCTGGGAGGGAGAGCCTGCTCTTTCGGGTGAATGGCTACCTTCATGGCGGGCAGCCACTGCATTGGGATCCTTGGCCGTTTCAGAGGTCTCTGTCCTTTCTAACTCAACACCTTGGACAGAGCTAGGATGTTCCACCCGCTCCCGAGACTCCACGCGCTTCTTTACGGGCTTTTTAGGCTTCTCTTTCTTATGGGCTGCATCTGCATGCCGTGCAGCCTGCTCAAGCTGTTGTTTTTGCAGCAATGCAATCCGCTCTTTCAAACTTGTCGGCTTTGGTTGGTCTTCAGTGTCATTATGTGTATCCGCAGATATGACAGGTCGTTCTGATGCGGGCCTGTCATGGCTGGTACGTTCGACAATATCAGGGTCTTCCTCGCGCCTATATACCCTCTGGGGTTGCTCTATGGGTGGTGGTATATACGCATTTCTACTCGGGGGAGGAGGAATGAAAGGTTTCTTGATAAACGAAGCGGACGAAGCGGGTTTGTTAGGGTCAAACGGGGTAATGGGAGCGGCGGCAGGTTTATTAAAAGCGGCAATACGATCTTTGAAGGACGCGGTGGGTTTTTCTGCAATTGCTGGAGGTGGAGCTTTAGATACCGGTTTTTCTGCAGGTTCTGGCACCTTAGATAGTTTGGGTGAAGATGGTGCAACTGGAACGGGGGCTGGAGCAGGAGTAGCTTTGACGGGGTTTGGAACAGGCGGAGGCAGAGATTCCGCAGCCTTTTGGTGAATTGACAGCTGCTTCAGTTCTGGCTCTGGACTTTCGTTGACTATCTGAGAGGAAGCCGGAGCAGGTGCGGGGATTGGGTCAGCAGAGGGAGCAGCAGCAACAGGAATGGAGTGTTCTGGTTCCTTTCTAGATTTTGATGGTCTTGCAGGTCTTGGGGGTGTAGCCGGCTCATATCTCTCTACAAAATTCCTTGGGAAAATGCCCTCTCTTTTGGAACCAGAATCATCCACGTATTCTCCAAAGTACCAGTCTTCATCCTCCTCCGCGATCACTTTGATGATCTGGTCGACGGAAAAATTAAGATCATCGTCGTGCTCAGATGTGTATTCATACACTGACTTGACCGTGAACGGAACACCAGACATTTTGGAGAGATGATTGCGACTCGCACAAGCCGCACTAAGATTGGTGGTGCGTGGAAAATGTGTAGAAAAGATCTCCGGGCTGGGGTTCTCGGAGGTTGGGTGGAGATAGTTTTAAGGTGGCCGGGGGGCTTCTCTCTCAGGCAGCCGATGACAAGCAACCACCACCAAAATCGAAGTTTCCGAAAGAGTAGGGGTTATTCGAGGCTGAGCTCTGTTGCCTGGGGTTAAATAGCGAGGAGTGAAACAGCAGTCGAACAGCAGAGTTCATGAACCAACAGCACACGTCAGCCGGGAGAACAAAAGTTAGTATTATCCTGGAGAAATAGGGACAAGCGGGGAGTTTCACTATGCAGAAATGGAACGAAGCAGGATAACACAGGCGAAGACAGGCAGGAGACTCAGCCAAAAACATGAATACAGGGGTGTCAGGATAATGATTATATCTAGAAGCCTCTCCCAAGTGCAAAGTGGAGGAGTGAGGTGTAGTTTGTAGTTAGTAGTGGGTTGAAAGTTCTTAGTAGTATTAACTAGTTGAAGTCGGTTGGATGTTGCGGGCTTGTGGCTGACAAAGGGCAGATGTGGCTGTTGACATTACGCCACTTCATACACCCGAATAATATTGAATTTCTTACCACATCATCAAAGAATTCTGAATACAAGTCAAGTTAAATACAACAACCAACACAAACAACGGACAGCAATATATAGTCTGGATTGATCGATCTGCTTGCCCTGGCTGCAAATGCTGCCACTCAATTGAGACTCCCTAACACAGCGCTCTCATTGCTGAAATACCCGGTCTGGTTGAAATTTGTATGGTTTCTGCTATCCAAATAGCGTATGCCAGCGTTAGCCCATCCTGTCCATAGGTAAATTGCCCGTTTTAGCTGATGACTGTTACTGATGGCTGTTAGCCATCAAGTTAACAAAATAAAAAAAGAAAAGAAAAGAAAAGGAAAAGAAATACACTGGGAATTACATCGGCTGCCCGCGTCGAAGCGAGCATGGCAAATATCAACCCCAACAATATTTCACCCAGAATATCATCCAACATGAAGTCTTCTCTCCCCTCAATACACGCAGCTTTCACCAGAGATACACCCCCTTCCACAAGCCCAAACTCCCGTACAACCAGGCCCACGACGACGACGACGACACCAGCAGCAAACCAGCGCAAACCAGCCCCAAACACCCGCCACCTAGCTATAGCTCTACACCACGCACACCAAATCCAAGCTCGCAAAGATACCGAATCCCTCATCCTCTCCCGCATAGAATACCTCCTCTCCTTCCCCAGCCACCCCCTAGCTCTTGCCTCCTCCCCGTCCCCTGATGATGTCAAAGCCTTCAAAGAAGCTCTCCTCCCCTTCCAACCATCCGACTACGACAATCTAATCCTTGAACGGAACATTGAGGGCCGCTGTGGCTATGTGCTCTGCTCCAATGAGCATAGAAGGGAGGACCCGAAGGCTAAATTTAGGGTTGTCTGGGGGAAGAAAGGGAGTGGGCCTGGTGGGCGGGGAAGGGAGATGAAGGTTGTCCCCAAGGAACAGATTGAGAAGTGGTGTTCGGATGAGTGTGCGGAGCGGGCTATGTATATTCGTGTGCAGCTGATTGAGCAACCGGCGTGGGAGAGGAGGCCTGGTAGTGCGGTGGAGATTTTGTTGTTGGAGGAAGGGAGGGCGAGGAGGGAGAGGGTAAGGGAAAGGGAAAGGGAAAGGGAAAGGGAGAGTTTGGGAAAAGAGTGCGGAGAGGGGAAGGGGAAAGAGAGGGAGAGGGAGAGGGAGAGTGAATTGGTGGATGAGGAGCGGGTAAGGGATACGGGTGATATTGATGAGGTTATGCGTAAACTTGTCATTAGTGATAAGAGCTTGGATCCGGAAGGGATTTTGCAGGGTATGGATCAGTTGGCTGTCTGCGAGACGGATATGCAGATGGAGGAAAGTAGTAGCCATATTGGTCAAGCTGCGCTTGCTATTGAGAGGGGTGATAACGCTCCGCGACCCGGGCTGGATGCTGGACGGGTTGGGGTGAATATCTTTGAGAAGCACCCGTGTACTGGTGGTATTGGTGCTGTCGAGGCGCCATCACCGCGAATGGAGGATTTACAAGGTGGCTCCATTGAGGGCTTTGAACCCGGGCAGCTTGGTACACCCAGGCCAGATGCAATGGATGGCATCGAGGAGGACAACGACATACTACCAACTATTTAGAGTATGCGTTTCTTTTTGGTTTACCTCCGATTTGACTACGGCGTTAACGTAAGAGCATACCGTGGCATAACAGTTGGTTTGTATTTTCGCGATAGGGACGACTCTAAATAGCGTTTACTGGGTTTCTACTTGATCAATGATCGCATCTAGATACTTGCATGAGATACATGCGCGTAAATGCAGTTCTATCAATTGTTTTGCCACCTACCTTCACTTTCACCAGCTGGGGATTTCCATCTCCATCAATCATTATATTATCGCATGAAAATGGCGGAAACGAAAACCAAGACCGACAAGGTCACTATTTGCCAACTCAAAGGAGGCAGGCACAGGGCAACTGTGTAAGGAAAACGAAGGAACAAATATTGGCAATCAAGCGTCATCCATGAGGAATCAGCGACACCTTGTCATGAGAATAAATACTCTTTCTATTCTTCCCCCCCCCCCCCCCCACCACATCACATTAACTAGCAACACGGAAAGCCGAAAGTTAAAACAAAAGCTGCACCATTTATTCTTTTCTTGGTTTGATCCGTCCGTCCCGCCCGTCCTCATATGGGTGAGATACAAGGTTAAAATAACGCCTTCCATTATTGCATTGCCAAAATTAAGTGAAAATGAAACAAGCAAGTTTAGCGGGCACCTCCAAAGCGACGAGGGCGGTTTTCGCTCTGCTGTTGGGTAACGGGGACGACGTTGACCTTGAGGGCATCGAACTACATATCCGAGAAAAAGTGAGAAAGTTGAGAAACGAACAACCCCACGCCAGTACAAAAGAAAACTTCTTGCAGAAAAATCGACTTACACCGAGGCTCTTGAGCAGATCCTTGGTATCAGCATCAACATCCAACTGTCCACTCTCGGTCTGCGAGACGTCCAAAGCGGAGATCTCGGGCACATATTGATCCTTGCGCTCACGCTCCTCCTCCTGCAGCTTGAAGGAGATACCACGGACGGGACCGCGCTGGATACGTTTCATCAGGTGTGTAGTATATCCAGCAATCTGAACGCATACTAATTAGAATCTCAAAATTCCTCTAGAATTCCTCGAGCTGGCCAACCCCCAGGTGAACTGTTGACAACGAACCTTGTTGCGCAGACGCTTGGAGGCAATGATAGCTATCTCATCACATATGCGCTTGTTGGTCTCAAAATCGAGGGTAAGCTTGGGATAGTACCGCTCGATGATGACCTTGGCGGATTTCTTGACGGTCTAATTTTTATGGGACGGGCCTGGTTAGCAAACCCAGTTCTTGTACTTTGTATCTTGGCTGTAAAAAATTGCATTTGCGGTTTTAATGCTTCCTTACCTTAGTCCGAACACGACCCATTTTGGCGGTTTGTTGGTGTGCTTGTTGGGTTCGAGAGAGTGAAGACGGCGACGTAGAGAGGAGGGACGAAAGAAAAGTGGTGGAGTTGGATTTCGCATTCCTTTTTTTCGGGTTGCGCCTATTCGCTTAGTTAATTGTGTGGAGCTCAGCCCTAGATCACGTGATATCAAATTTCCCCTGAATAACTCTCAAGATATCACCACGATCTATAAGAGCAGAAGTGATTAGACGGGTCAAAAAATTACATAACAAAATCAAAGTAATATACAGTTGCCCCGGATCCGCTGGTGGCCATCCACCCAACTTTACTAACAGGCCGACATGTGGCTTAAGCAAGGCTGAGCGGACGGGAAGCCCTGTTTTCCACTTGACAATTTTAGCAACGCTGCTTAAATTAATCAACAACGAAATTGAGCAAAATGATAGTATAGAAGACAACGTGTTCAGGGCAGGATTTTAGAAATGAGTATCACCAACCCAAGAGGAAGGCCACTGGAAAGTATTATATAGTTATATAGCTAAATAGAGAAAAGAAAATAACTCCAATTGCAAAGTAATTTACAGGGGATAATTCAGGATATGGTTCAACTTCATGCGATCTACATCCGCCATCCACCTCTCTTCTAATGTACAAGACAGCTGTATCAAAAGATCAAAAAGATCAAAAGAAGTCTGTTTAGACTCTCTTCTCCCGGATAATGTCGAACATTTTATGAACGTTGCCATCCCTTCCAGCCGCTGCACTGGAAGGCGAAGTTAACTCAGCATATGTCCGCTGAGGGCCATGCACGTAGTCCGCAAGCGGCTCAGCTGGTTCAGGAAGGGCTCCATACAGCGCTTTGGGCGTATCCGCCGCCCGATTGGTAGAAAGAGAAATCTTGCCTTCAGAAGTGATGGATGCACTTACAGGATGGACCCAGTATTTCGACCCTCCTGGGATATCAGGATCAAAGTCCGAAATACCTCCAGGTCCATTTTGCTCTCTGAACGCGTGGGAGTTGACGTCCTCTGCCACTATACCTCCTACAGCAACGACGGCTTTATAGGCAGTTCCCCTGTATCGGCGCTTGGGCCTTAGGATACGCGCTTGGAATGGTCGGGAAAATTTTTGTGGACCAACAACCGGGTGGTTGTCGATTTGTGCACCTGTTCGTAGGTAAGATAATCCGGCTGAAGGGTGGGTCTTGGGAGGTCCCTGGCGGCCATACACCGAGGAAGATGCTTCGGAGGGTGCAGAACTCCAGCTGCTGAGATGGATACGGTGATTCGGTTTCTGAGGAGCGGGAGGAAGATCCAAAAACTTGGAGATAATCGGCCCTAGTGCCGTAGGGTCGGCTCTCAGGCTTCTCAGGGCTGTATAGAACTCCTCGTTGCTGATCTCTTGGGGTTTCTGTAAATCATCTAGGTTCTTTCCTTCCTCTCGGGCTTTGCGTCTTGCTTCGGCCAATTTTCCCTC